GTATGCGACAGTGATAAGAGGTGCTGTGATTAAGTGTCCAATGCCGTATCTCAGATTTGTCCACAGGCAAGGGACTGTAGCATACAAACCACTCCGACAAGCCAACAACCTCTAACACCCTCTTAACAACTGAAGGACTTTCATTACCAAGGCATAGCCTCTGCGCCATATTCCATCCTCGCATCCGTTCTTTTCCTCCTCATCTCCCGCAACTCCTCTTCCTCCTCCTCATCCTCATAACCCCTGCCCACCCCCCACCTCTTTTTTACCTTCCCAACTGCATACCGACCCACTCCCCATACTGTTGCAGCAAAAATTGTGCCCGCAATCCCCGTAGGCGCAAGCACAAACCCCGCACCACTAACAAACGTGCCAAAAGCCCCTGCGCCCACCGTTGCCACTAGAGACCCAATCGCAACGTACTTGGCATATCGGACTATTCGCCAGAAAACAAAAATTATGCTTGATCGTAGGACCCGTAGGAGTGCGCGTGTGCGCCGCGAAGAAACGACGTTGGGGGCGGTTTTGGGGTCGTATAGGTATCGTAGATTACGCCGGGTTGATGCGAGCGCAGAGGTGGAGCGCGCATCTATCTCTTTGTCTGGATCAGAGGCTATGGATGACATGGTGGTGGTTTGTTTAAGGATAGCAATTGTAATAGAGAGGATGTTTGCGAAGAGATGTTTGCGCGGGTTGTTAGTGACGTCATTGCGCGCTATGGATGATGGAGTTCGCCGAGTAACGCTACTAAATCAGTATTATTACTTCCAATGGCACTGTCAAAAATTTGAAGGGCATAAAGAGAAATTCAGATTCTTAATCTGATTATGCGAGGACTACACTAGTTCATACAGTAACATATCCCCTATGTGGCAAGAGCTTAACCATACGTTCAACCCTTGTCCTTTCCAAACCAGCTTCTAATCCAAAGTATCTCTGACTACCAAGCGAAAATTCCACGTTGGCCTCAACCCTATCCAACATGCCTAGTGCGTATTCTTTGAGCACTCGATCTTGCTCGGTATCTTGAAATGTCGTGAGATGATTGTAGTCATCGATAAGGGAAAGAAAGAGATTGCGATACATCTTTCCCATGACATCCATTGTATCTTGCACGCCTCTTCCTCTTTCACGCAGTACAACATCGACAAGATTACAAGCGACGCTTTTCTGGCCACTGACCTGCTCAACATTGTAACTATAAATGTCGTTGGCAATCCCGATAAGGTCAGTGGTGGTGATTGTCATCCTCTGAATGACTTCGTGGTTGATCATATCATCTGAAAGATGAAATCGGATGCAAACAAAGTCCATTGAAGGCACCATCCCAAGATTACGTCGACGGATATCGAAATGCTCGGTACGACTGCGCAGACGGCCTGTCTCACGATCTTGTGTTTCTTCCACAACCGAATCAAAATAGCATATAAAATGGCGCACGAACAGATCCTTCGTGGTGGAAGGAGGCTCGAGTATTTCTAGGACATTGTTCCACCATCTAATCGAATATTAGTAGATCAAAGTAATGATCGTTGCGTAGACTCACGATCTACACATGTTCTCCAGAACTCCATCATCCGATGATGTATAGGTAGGATCTACTAGGATGCGCTTCAAGTTCGCAACCTGACTTTCATTCTCGAGCAGTGATTGGTTATCAGTGAGATCGTCAATAATCCAGAAGAAGTGCATCAGATCTGAGACAAGCCTGAAATGATCTGCATCAGAGCGTCTGTAAGCCCAAGCAGTCAGTGTCATGATCCCGTATCTGGCGAACTTTTCCATATTCTTCTCAGACATGCTCTTGAAGCTTCTGATCAAATCGAGAGATTCAATCTCCATTCTTTTCTCAAGAGGATGGGCAACAGATGTGCATGGCCATTCTTGGTCTGTCCCTCTCAACAATGACAGTGGAAGTAAATCAGGGAGTTTGAGAAGGACTGATTCATGAAAGGGGCATCCCTGGGGGCAACAGATTCCAGATGGAAGTGACATCATTGATAGAAGAGCTTAAGTAATAAGATGAGAACATCCACACTATATGATCGCAAAGTGATATAAGTCACAGAGATCGGACTTTATACATATAGCAGATGAACACTCATATTGATTTGCTAATTCTCTAAGGAAGTGCAGTGCTTATTGTAAAGACTTGGAAGCAAAGAATCCATTCTTCGGGGACTTTAGATTTGGATTGATTGATCAATGGGCGCCTGCAACAGGACTGTTTTGTCTATCACGTGATCTTATCGATCAGAATTGCCAAAACATTACAGCACAAAGGTTACACACTGACGTGATCCAATATACGGATGAACCCAGCGAGCTTAAGATTTTATATCTTGATTGGAAATCCTCTAGCTAACTGCGATTTTGAGTTAATTCAATGAAGCAATTCAACCAAGAAGCGGTCATACGACTTGGCAGATGAACTGTTCCCCAGTCTGATACTGTGAGTAGCTAGAAAGGACAGTTGAGAACTGCAGGAAAACAAAAAGGGAACTGCGCAAGCATTCGAGTCAATAACAACCCATGGTATAGTGTCGTACTAAGCTTCCAGCAAACAACTGCAGTATTGTCGGCACTTGCAATGATGATTTTGATAGAAATGATTAAATAGAGGATCCAGGAAAGAATAGAAAACGAAATGCTCTATCCTTAAAGAAACTCGTAGTCTCTTGGGGAATTGAAATCGCTGGACAAAAAGTGCCCCTACCACAACAGCGCGACTCCTTAATAACGCCCACACCACACACTACTTAGCTATTGTAGTTAAGTCAATAAATCATTATACAAGTAGGAAAACTTATCATACTTTACGGGTTTTACAACACTGTTTATGGTGACATTCGCCGTGATTTGGGCTGGTGTTTGGCGTGCCTTTTATCCGGCTATTTAGGTTCCAAGAGGTAGTACCACTTGAAAGGATTCTTGAGCTATGCCTATTTCTATTCCGTATGCTACCTTCCTTATTCTGACTAATCAAACCAAGAATATTGGAGAACAGGAATCGTGTCATGTCCAGCGACCGTCATGCTTGCTCTCTCCAACAGCGACAATGACACTTCTCTCTGTGTTTGCTGAGTTGAACTCTAGCTTGCCTCCCATTCCACTGCGAGGCATCGCAATTGTGCTTCTAGTGTCGTTGATTCTCAAGCTTCGCAATGTGGGAGCCCGTGACAAAGATATGCCACCAGGCCCACATATGACGCTTATTCTGGGGAACGCTCTGGATTTCCCGACTAGTTTTCCTCACATTAAGTATGTATTGATCTTTGCCAAGAGGGTTTTCGAGCTCACAGTCTTAGGTTTCTGGAATGGACTCGACAGTATGGCGATATCTTTTCACTTAAGATATTTAATCGTACTATAATCGTCATCTCTTCGCCAATAGCTGTGAAACATGTACTCGAAACCAATGGCGCTCGTACTGGAAATCGACCCCAATCCAAGATCGCCCACCGTGTAACAAGGGGCCAGAATATGTTCCTAGAAAATATGGAAAACCCAGTTTGGAAGCGTGGCAGTCAACTTGTACGCAACTTTCTTACCAGGGACAGCCTTGAGAAAGATTTGAAAACTCAAGAAGACGAAATCTCGCAATGCATGTACGATATGTTAGAAGATCCAAAGAACTTCTACCGCCACGTTTACCGCACAACAGCATCGGTTATACTTACGAACGTCTATGGCGTACGTGTAGCCAAATATGAAGGCTCGGTTGCAGAGAAATACTTCCTGGGAATTAAACTTCTTAGCGAATCCCTGGACCCTGGCGCACACCCTCCAATCGATCTTTTCTGGCCACTTCAATACGTACCTAAGCGATGGGCATATTGGAAACGGCTCGCGGACAAAGCGCGTGCCGTTAGGGATGAGCTATATGGTTCCCTATTTGCGCAATGCGAGCTGGCAGTCGAGAGCAAGAATTCTACAGGATGTTACATGGAATCACTGGTATCGGATCAGGCCAAATCTGGCATGACTCGAGACGAAATCATTGGCATAGGCGCGGTTTTGATGGACGCTGGAGTGAAGACAACTGCAACTTTTATTCACTCCTTTATCATCGCACTGATCAACTACCCTGAAGTTCAGAGAAAAGCGCGAGAAGAGATAGATACAGTTGTAGGTCCTGACCGCTGGCCAAGGCTGAAAGACTACGAAAATGTCCCATATATTCGCGCCATCGTCGACGAAGTCATCCGATACAAACCGTCAGCCCCGGTTGCTATTCCCCATGTTAGTACCGCAGAAGTGTTTTACAAAGGTTATCGTATCCCCAAAGATTCCACAATATTCCTGAATGTGCATGGTATCTCCCATGACCCAGATTTCTTCGACCACCCAGAGGAATTCAGACCTGAAAGATTCCTTGAGACGGAGTTTGGCACGAAACCGGGCGTCGACACGACAGGGTTTCGGAACAACTTTACATTCGGAGCTGGTCGCCGAGCATGCCCAGGAGAGGCACTGGCACGCCAAAACATGGCACTGACCATAATGAGCTTCCTTTGGGCATTTGAATTCGAGAAGGATGATTCAGGGACCGGTGGGTACGATCTCGATTCATATGAAAGAGTAAGTGACATGAGATCCAATCGAATGGTATACAATGCTGACGCTTATTGACAACTAAAGCCGGGAATCGAGCTGGCACCGAAGGAATTTACCTGTGATGTGCTCCCCCGATCAGTGGCGAAGGCAGAAATGATTAGAAGTAGGATGGCAAGTGCATACGGGGATACCCAAGAGTAGGCAGGGGTAAGGTTAGGGCCAGGCCGAGTGTAGGTAGTGGTGGGATGGAGATACTCTATGCTTACATATAGAGAGTGTCGGACCACGAGTCTTGCCGTGGAAGAGGCGAGCTGGATTTTGCTAAATGCGGGAAGCTTCTTCGGCATCAACTCCCCAAAGTTCCTTCACTGAATTGTCATGATATATTTTCATCCTAACATTTCACATCTTGGGTATCATACATCCATCCCATAATCTTCCCTTCACTCTCCCCGACCAATCTTCTCCAGCGTTTTTCTCGTCCCCTCCACAATAGCTCCATGCTCCACAGCATGAATTCTCTCTTCCAACGCCTCCAAACTCTCCCCTTCCTTCAGCTCCACTTCTTTTGTTAACACTGGCTCGCCAGCGTCCACCTCGGCAATTACCTCGTGAATCATAACGCCTGTTCTCTTCAGCCCCTCCTCTTTTCCAGCTTTCCACGCCCGCTCGATCGCGCCCGCTCCAGCAAACTCGCCGGGCAGTGCAGGGTGCAGGTTTATGATTTTGATGTTGGCGGCGGCGATGGGGGTGAGGAAAGACGGAGTGACAATGTGCATCCAACCCGCGCATACAATGAGGTCGGGGCGCGGTTTCGAGTCGAGAATGATTTTCGCGAGGTCGGCGTCGTATTGTTCGCGGGCCGTGTCAATGGCGTCTGGGTGCTTCTTCTTGTATGGAACGAGGTTGTGGTATGTTGTTGGTATTGAGGCTTTGGCGGCACGTTCGAGGCCGTATGCTGCTTTACGGCTGCGAATGCATGTTAGTCAGACTTGACTTTGCAAACACACAAGCCATCCTACTTTGATATGACGTGTGTTATGCGAGTGTTTGGCAGTGCTCCAGATGCGCATGCGTCGATGAGGGCTTGCAGGTTGGAGCCATTGCCTGAGATGAGGACGGTAAGGTTGAATTGTCGGTCTGGCATTGTGGAAGTGGGATTATGTGACCCTTGAATAGCGGTGTTATTCGTATATCTTCTAAGTTGTGATGCTGGTCGTGTGAATGTTTAGTCTCCCAAAATTTGGGCGTGGGGTACTAGGTTGCCCCGCGCGGAGATTAGCCTGCAATCGCCGGACGTACGGTCTGCCGTATTTGGGAGCACTTGTGAAAGAGCGATATAGAGGGGCATGCTGCCCAAGTCATTAATCACTATTCTAGTCTGAGATTTCCTCAATGGGTTCGAATCATGTCCAAAGCACCAGGTACCATAGCTCAACTCCTAGCATCAGATCAACTCTTTACGACCTCATCCTCTTTGAGCTTGCAACAGACGCCTCTTCCATATCCTCCCACTCGTCGTCCTCGTCATCCTCAAGCACAACTGCTCGTTTCCTCTTACCCCTCGCGCCAGCTGGCAAGGCAGATGTGGTATCAGCTGCCAGGTTTTGGCGCTTCTCAAGGCCCTCTAGACGCTCCTCAAATTCCTCCTGCTGACTGTCGACTGCAGACTCTAGCTTCTCAACGCGCTCGGCAGTATCCTCCATCTGATCCAAAGCGTCGGCATTTTGGCTGTAAATACGGTGCTTCAGGGCTAGACGCCAGAAGTAGTATCTTCTATCGTTTTCATTGCTCGATTTCGCTTTGCGTGTAATGCGTGATCGACTGCGGTGGTTCGGAGGAATAGTCGATAACAGATGCAGCTCAACCATTCTGTAGAATTGCCTGCTCACAATCTTTGTTTCCTTTCGGAGTTCTTCGAGATCCGTTCCGTTGCCAAGAATTTGGTCTCGCGGGATAGGCGAATCTTTCCTCAAGGATTCTGGGGGCAGATTTGAAGCGACCGACAGGTTCTGGAATGCGGGCAAAGTGCGAAGATACGTAATATCGCTGTAGTCCCGCATTGCATCGAACGCCTCACTAGGATCCTCTACGGGAATCTCGTAGATGAAGGGCTTGGATACTAGATCGTGGAAAATAGTGTCGTAAAGCCGGCTTCCAAGCGATTGGCCCTGATATGGAGGGATGACAAGGAATTGCGAGATGCGTTCTCTTGACGGCGTTTGAAGAAGGTCGAGCTTGTCTGTGAAGAGGAAAGTCTCGGGGTCTTGATGTAGACGAGGTGGCGTGTACTTGCCAGTCTCGCCGCTGTTGCTTTCAGCAGGCGATGGCAACTGCTTTGTAGCCCGCGCAATCTCGAATGTGGGGAAGATCCAAGAGCGGTAGGTTGTGGAGAAGCCGGCGAGCGTGTAGGGCGATAGTGTCTTGTCCTCCAGCGGCGTTACCTCATACAGCAGATACAACGTCCAGCGATCCAGAGTCTCCTCATCGTCCAAGCCATCTGTTGTAGCGCCTTCGATAAACAGTATTGCCAAGATTCTCATGTTTGTCCAGATGCGCCGCGCTTCGGTATCTGTCATGGAGGCTCTCCATATCTCGTACTGCTTTCCGTATAGAGTAAAGGCATTGGCGAGCTCACCAGGAGGCTTCCAGTCGGCCGAAGTCGCGCTCGCAGCATCGCCAATGGAATCTGGGAGGTACTCGCGGAACAGCTCTGGTGATAGGTTCACCTGGTTTAGATCTGGGGAAATCTTCTTGAGGTCAAGTTCTTGGTCAAAGGAGATTTTCAGCTTTGGCTTCAGGTCGTTGGCGCGGAAATCTAGCTCGATGCTGGGGTTCTTGTACCCCGCGATGGTCTCATTCTCCTCGATGAGGGTGTATGTATAGCTGGGATTGAAGGATTCGAGAATGCGCTCAGGGCCGTCCTCGTTGGCGGTGCGGTAAAGATTAAGGTGAAAACATTCGTTTGAGTTGGTAACCCCTAGAGAACGTTAGTACGAGAGTTATGCAAGCTGTCAAGACTACTATTGTCTGAAGCTTTTGCGCGAAGCACGTACATTCATCCAGATCAAGCGCCATGGCGATAAATGTGTGGTTTTGAGTCACAGAAACAATGGCTCAGCTACACTCGGCAGATACTAAACGACCTCGCGATGTGCTGTTAACAGTATCACCAAGTAAGTGAGAGTGGTTGTGCTAGGCAGTTTGCGCGCAAAGTGGTAGACGACTAGCGCGACGGGAGACGCGTCTAGCTCAGCCCTACGCCATGACGGCCGCCCCTGCGCCTTGCCGACCAGTGTGGAACCCAAGCCCTCAAGAAAGTTGCGGCTACGTCCACGACAACAGACCAACCACACCGCCCACACCAATCCAACCCCCACCACTGACACGGCCGACTACTCGAGGGGCATGGGCAGTGTTGATTGAAGCGCTGAAATTGTTCGCTCTTTTTTTCTTTTGCATAGCAGGCGCATCCTTCTCTTCGCTCCTCCGCTTTTAGGGAGACGACACTCCATACATTGTCAAAATGTGGGACGGACTCTTCATGTTGCTCGCGCTGAGCACAGTAATGGGCATTGCGTAAGTAGATGTATTGATAGTATCACAGAATGATCATGCTAACGGCTCCAGCTCATTCCTCGCCGGCATCCTCCCCCTCTCCTTTAACTTGTCCACCCGCCAACTGCGCACCATGACACTCCTTGGCACCGGCGTGCTAGTGGGAACATCGCTGATCGTCATCATTCCCGAGGGCATTGAGACCATGTATAGCGCAGGAATGAAAACGCATGCGCACTCGCGTAGTGTGCGCAGTGTGGCCCAGCCTGCCATTCTATCAGCAAGAAGCCTGCAAGGAGACCTACTACACGTGCCCGAATTCCCCGCATGGAAGAGGGCAGACCAGGTAGAAACAAAGAACCTTGGTGGAGCCGTTGAATTGCAGATGAACAAGGCCAAATACGCACGGCAGGCGGAGAAGCCTACGGAGGACCCACATCCGCAAAAGGGAGGAGACGATGATTCGACTGAAGGCCACAAGGAGGGGCATACTCGTGTCCACGCACCCGAGGATGAAGAGAAGCCCCATGGCCATGCTGAGGCTGGCCATGACGACGGATCGAGCCCGCATGCATACATTGGAGTCGCGTTGATCCTCGGCTACATTCTCATGTTCCTGGTCGAACATCTCCCCGAAGCCCTGGCCTCTGGACAACCCGAATACCAGCCCATGCATATCTCTCTTTCCAACCTAGCACGTGGACCGCACAATTCTTCGTCTTTGAGTGTGAACGGAATGGGCATGCAGAGCGCCGCTGTTACACCCTTGGCAACACCTGGGCTTCCCCCACCACCTACCAAGAAGACACCAGCAGCCACCATTGGTCTCGTAGTCCATGCCTGTGCCGATGGAATTGCTTTGGGCGCTTCGTCGACTGCTGAGTCTACATCTCTGTCTCTTGTCATTTTCTTTGCCATTATGCTCCACAAGGCACCTGCTGCATTCGGACTTACATCCGTTCTCCTCAAACAAGGCCTATCCAAGCGCAAGGCACGAACTCACCTCGCCTTCTTCAGCTTAGCAGCCCCTGCTGGTGCCCTGGCTACCTGGACCATTGTCCACATGTTCGGACGCAACCACCTGGGAGGCGATGAGGGATTGACGTGGGCAACGGGCTGGGTACTCTGCTTCTCTGGAGGAACTTTCCTGTAAGCTCGATTCACACTTAGTTTGTATTTCCCTCTTTGCTAACAGTAACGTAACAGATACGTCGCTATGCACTCCATGGCCGATGCAACAGCCTCACAGCACGCCCATGAAGACCCGACTGCAAACGGCTACATGGAAGCTTACTCTGGATCCAACCGCATGTCCAAGACAGACGTCAGCATCGTCATGCTTGGCATGCTACTTCCCCTTATTACGCAAATAGGCCATGCTCATTCCCACGGCCATTAGCATCCTGCCTTCTTTTTTCTTAAATTGCATACGCTGGCGTTTCGCATTACGATTGCTCTCTGATGCTGCTACCACAACTTGGTGGTCAGGCAAGCGCGCATAGGTTCACCATGATACCACAATTCTGACGTATTGTCTGTATTACGTTACCTTGTTCCGTATTTTTTTTTGTTTCCTTTTTTGCCAATCAAGATAGAAGTTTCCAATGTTGTCATCACGTGATCATGTTTCCTGCGCCTTTTCTCCAAACAGCCATAGCTCGTATTGAGTGCCTGTACTTATGTCAAAGCCAATCAAACAACTGGCTCTCTGTAAACATGCCAAGGTAAACAATGCGTATTCTGTAGATAGCAACAAAAACAACAATCAATCTCACAGATGAATTCTTAAAGAGCCGCACAAGCGAACGCAGAGAATATCATACACGTTGTGATTCCCAAGCTTCAAAGATCCAACAGGAACACAGAAATCCATCTATACGTATATTTGTATTCGTTTCTTTATTCATTGAACCCATATCTCATAACTCGGACTAGCTAACTCAGTCTTCCGTAACCGTAATGAACCCGAAATAGTCCACCATAGACACCGTGCCCTGATGAACTCCGAATCCCCACTTTTTGCGGATATAAACCGACAACTCGAACGAACTAACATGATGAAGGCTCTAGCCTATATGTCTCTATCATGATAAATGGCAGATGTCCATAGGCCAGAACTCTTCGTAGCACAAATCCACATCGCCTTGCAATGCCACACACGGCTCGGCGAGGGGAGCATGCGTCTAGGCTGATGCAACCACCTAAGCTGCGGTGGTAGCGGGAGGGTTCTCGACAACCTTCTCAGGGGTCGCGTTGGTGGTGGTGGCCTCAGTGGTAGGGGCCTCGCCCTCAGCGGGCGCGTCTGGTGCGTCGTCCTCCTTGCCGGGTGAGTCGATCGCGACCTTAACGGCGATCTCACGGCCCTCAATCTCCTTGCCATTCATCTCGGCACATGCCTTTTGTTGGAGCTCCTCGGAGCCGAGGGTAACGAAACCGAAACCACGGCCCTTGCGGGGCTCACCGCGAGCCTGGAGCTTCTTAACCATGAAGCGGGGGATGGGGCGGAGAGCGATCTTGGCCTGGGTAGGTGAGTAGTCCTTGAAAATCTCGAGAAGCTGTAGTTTGGTAAGTATAGGCCCAATCCTAGGTTTCAGAGAACACGTACCCTATCCTCCTTCAGGTCATAAGGCAGGTTGGCAACCATAACCTTGGTCTTGGAGGGAACGCCATCCTCGGGAGGACCACGCTGCTTGCGCTCGCGGGGAGCAGCGGCCTTTTCGGCGCCCTTCTTTGCTGTAAGCGCTTCGTTCGTAGTCTCGGTGAGGGGGGCAACTTGGCCAGGTACATTTGTAGGAGCAGCTTCGGCAGGGGCCGCCTCAGTGGAGGCTTCAGCTGGCTCGGCGCCCTCAGCGTCGGTCTTCTTGACAAACATGATTAGTCTGTGTCCACGAGTATACAGTCATTATTGTCGGTACTTACAGCACGTCCTCCACGTCCAGCACGGCCTCCACGGCCACGTCCGCGGCCACGTCCGCGGGTGGAGGTGCGGCGGCGAGCCTCGCCAGTGTTGCCTTCGGCTCCGCTGCCAGCTCCCTCAGCGTGGGCCTCGGGAGTGCGAGCAAGCTGGATGGAGACCTTGCGGTCGAGGATGGCCTTGCCGTTGAGCTCAGCAATAGCACGCTCAGCCTCGGATGGGGTGGAGAGGGCAACAAAGGCGTAGCCGACGGGGCGCGAGGTGCGCGGGTTGGTGGGGATGGTCGTGGACTCGCTGGACAGCGTGTTAGCTTAAGGTAGTGGCGTCATGTGGAGAAGGCGGGCCCACATACACCAAGTAGTCCTTGAAGAAGTCCTTCAACTCCCCCTCGGTGGTCGCATACGCGAGGTTTCCAATGTAAAGTCGCCTGCCCTCGGCGGCGCTCGCACGCACAGCCTCGTCCTCGGCTGCGGTGGGCTGCTGGGCGCCGGTGCTCTCCGTGGTGGTGGTGGGTGCGGGAGCAGTGTTGTCGGTGGTGAGGGAGGTGGTGGCCATCTGGGCGGTGACACTGTCGACAGGTGCGGACATTTTTGCTGAAGTTTTAAGGGTTGACGAACACGAGTAAAGAATCGAACGTGTAGAGTGACTGAGGAAACTTGGAGTCCTGGTAAACCGGCAAAGGTAACCTTGAACAGCAGTGGATTATTGAAGTATTGATGGGAATTGTCGAACCGCCTGTTGGTGGAACTGTTGACGAGGGGGGTGTGGAGTGGGTAGCTACGAGCCCGGGGAAGGTTGAGAGAGGATTGGGTTGATGGAGTGCTTGGTTTGTCTCTGTTGTTTGACTTGATGGGGGAGGGAAGGGAGCAGGGCTGCGGGCCTGGGCAGATTATTTTGAAGAGAGAGCGGCCATGGGGCTTGTCCCGAAGCGGCAGTCGAAGCGGCCCACTCGCGCAGGGAAGCGCCACTGATTAGTTGCGCCACATATGTATGTGCATGCTTCCGGGAGGGAGGAGCATCTGGCGTGATTGTTTGTGTAGTGTCTATGAAGTTGTGTGTATATACAAAATATATGGTCATTTGTTTATCTGTCTAATTCCTTACTTGCATATGCAGGTCGTGTGTGCATACTTACTCCGACACAGGTGCTGCTTAGCTAATGCGCCTTACAGGTAGTAGCTGGCGCCACACACTCCAGCCCCCCCTGCCCGCCTGCGCTACAGCTCAACGTCGACGACGCAGCCAGTTGCCTCAGGCCCCACTGCCGCTAGAAGCCGATAGCAGCAAAAAGACCCGGCTGCCGTTGACGTGGCCGCTAGTGCACCGCTTCTTCATGCGACGGGTCTGGGGGGCCAGCCGTCAAATCTCATCTTCTCGACGAGTCTCCTTGAAGCTAGTCTCACCGTACCGCTCCCTGATGCCATGCCCGCCCTGCAGCAACCACGTCGCGCGCTGGTCGTCTACGGCTCCGAGACAGGCAATGCCCAAGATGTGGCCGAGGAAATGGGGAGGATCGCTGAACGCCTACGGTTCGACACCGACGTTGCTGAGCTGAACGCCATCAGTCTTGTATGTCAGTCAATGGCCGTGCCAGTGCGTGCAGCAGGGCCTTGTTGACTCGAGTAGAAACAATTGTTGCAGCATGATGTTGTTTTGATTGCAATCTCCACCACGGGCCAGGGTGATCTGCCCCCAAACAGTCAGAAATTCTGGAGAGCCATTAGAAGCGCTCGCTTACGCCCAGGATGTCTGTATCAGATGAAGTTTGCCTCGTTTGGCCTGGGAGACACATCGTATCCCAAATATAACTGGGCCCATCGTAAACTCTATAATCGCCTCATTCAACTCGGAGCCCAGGCGATATGTGACCGTGGTGAATCTGATGAACAGCATCCAGAGGGGTATGTCAACATGTCAACCTTGTTGTAGCCATACAATGTGTCTGACTTTTCCAGTATCGATGGCTCATTCCTTCCCTGGTCTACCAAACTTCGGCAACACCTCCTGGAAACGTATCCTCTTCCAGACGGCGCTGAACCAATACCGGACAATGTTCTCCTAGACCCCAAATGGCTACTTGAAATTGCTGATGAGACGTCAACACCTTCAACCAAGCCTGAAGCAAAAGAAGACTCACCTGACATTCCTCCATCAGACCTCCTCAAGGTTCCTGGTGGCTTGACTGCAAAGGTTACGAGCAATGAACGTGTTACTCCCACCACACACTGGCAAGATGTCCGACATCTCAAGTTTGAAATACCAGAAGTTCGCTCCTACGTCCCAGGCGATGTCCTCACCATATACCCCAAGAATTTTCCTTCGGACGTCTCCCATTTTCTAGAATGCATGGATTGGACCTCGATCGCTGATGTCCCTCTACGCTTCATTCCATCCTCACCAGCTACTTCACCAACTGCAAGTCTTCCAATTCGGACCTTGGATCCCAACAGTACAGTAACTCTGCGCCAACTTCTCACCAATCACCTTGACATCATATCAATCCCCCGCCGCTCCTTCTTCGCCCAACTTGCCCACTACACCACCGACGAATTCCACAAAGAGCGTCTCATCGAGTTCACAGATCCCCAGTATATCGACGAGCTCTACGATTACACGACGCGTCCACGCCGAAGCATCCTGGAAGTCTTGCAGGAGTTTGAATCTGTGAGAATACCATGGCAGCGCGTGTGTAGCATCATCCCTGTATTGCGGGGAAGACAGTTTAGCATTGCCAGTGCGATGAACCCAACAGCAGAATTGGAGAAAAAAACCCAGATCGAGCTTTTGATTGCAATTGTCAAATATAAGACGGTCATCAAAAGAATCAGGCAGGGCGTAGCAACGAGATATATCGCTTCTCTTACACCTGACCAAGAGATTACCGTTACACTTTCGCAGGGAGGCCTCGGCGTGAGCAAGGAGGAGCTACAAAAACCCATCGTCATGGTCGGGCCCGGAACAGGCGTAGCACCGATGCGATCGTTAATCCACCAACGCATGTTGTGGCGGGAAGAATTGAAACAAGCGCAGAATGGACACTTGCAAGACCAGGTGCAAGATCAAGCAAAAGATTTACTATTCTTTGGCTGCAGAAACGCAGAGTCAGACTACTTTTTCAAGGACGAATGGGAGAAGTTGCAATCCAATGGCGTCCCACTAACCGTTTTTGCAGCCTTTTCTCGAGACCAAGTGAGCTACAATCTCATTTCCTCTTTCTCTTCTCCTCACTAACATCTTCTTCAGCGGCAAAAAGTCTATGTGCAAGATCTCATCCGCCAGCAATCTGCCCTCATCTTCTCGCACCTCTACCACAAGTCTGGTATTATATATGTTTGTGGCTCTTCGGGTAAGATGCCTCAAGCAATCCGCGAGGCACTCATTGAAGGGTTCCAAGAGCATGGAAACTTGGATAGAGAAGGAGCAGAGGCGTACTTGGTAGGAATGGAAAAGGCTGGACGTTATAGGCAGGAGACGTGGTAGAACTAGGGCTGCTGTTTGCCTACTGCTCCTCACTAACTGCCACTATCAGACTTTATAGAATTTTTGGGAAATCAGAGCAAAAGGATAGAGCTCCTAGCGGAATACACTACTGAAGTAAACACAAATCCCACAACAATGGCTCAACGCCAATGAGATGCAAGTCTACGACAACGTTATGCACTGTACATTTCACAACAATATGAATCACTCCACGAAGAAGACACCAAGTATACAAAAAAGTAAAAGAAACAACAAAAACATACAACAGCGGGGATTCGCTAGTGGTCACCCACCTAACTACTAGTCCGCCGGTCGAAGACTTAACGTGTGGAGAACGAACGGGATCCGGTGCGATACTTCGCCGATGGTCGTATGTGCCAGAAATCAGAGATCGAAAATTGATGTTACCGGTGTTTTTTGGGAAAACGGTCTGGCACGGCACATGATAGAGGCACAGCGATATGCCCGCTTAGAGTTTCCACCCCATCAGCCTAAGTTCCACCACAGCTATGATCCTCGACTGGACAGCCTCTGATATATCGAACCAAGGGTAGAGTGAAAAAATGGTAGTGTTGACTTCACAAAGCAATGTACGCGAAAGTAGTATGCTCGTGTGGCCTCCATGATGGCACGAAATGCCATGGATGGCGCGAAGAGTGTATTCAGGCATGCTGTAACCCTGTAGCTTCTCTAGCAAGCACAACGCCTATCGCGTACTCAGCCCTGCATTCGCCTTAATCTTTCCTCAGCTGCTCTTGCCCTTCTTTCCCTCTCCATCCTTGCCCTCGCCTCTGGTGTCAATCCCCTCATCTCTTCTTCTCTCAGGTCTGCGCCAGTCTTGACAGGTAACGCGCCCAAAGCCTTGCCTTTGCCCAGTCGTTGCTCCTTTCTTCTCACCTCTTCTGCCTCGCTCTCCTTACGCACCCGCTCTGTCTCTGCTTTCCTACGATCAGCCTCGGCCTTACTTTCTGCAGCCTTCTCGTTCTTTTCCTGCGCATCTCGCTTGTCAGCCTCAGCTTTGGTCATGGCTGCTGGAACGCCTGCTTTCTCCCAGTCCCATGCAGACTCGCCGAGTTCGGAACGTGCAACGCGAAATGCATCCCTTGTCGCACGATCACCCGCCAGTGAGAATGGTGCCCGAGCTTCGTCATTCATCAATGTCGGGTCTGCGCCCGCTTTTGTGAGAAGGGCAATGACAATGGGAACTGAGTTGAGGGATGCCGCAAGGTGCAGGGGAGTCGGCGTGTGGTAATTGGCAGGCAGGAATGTGAATGTTGGTGGAATGTTGTTGGTCTTGAGGTAGTTTAGGAGCGCAGGTACTTTGGAGCGTTTGATCATTGGTATAATCTGCGATGTGTGTAAGGAGACGGACTCTTCCTCTTTCGTTGGCTTCTTGGGTTTGGGCTTTGCCGGAGCTGGAGCTGTGATTGGAGCTTCTTTCTGAGAAGCGTTCAGGGCAGCAAGTGCTGCCTCATCAACAGTGCTTTGCTTCGCCCAAGTTAGCTCAACAAAAGCACGCATGAGCTCTTTTTGAGTCGCTCGGCGTGTACTGAACGGGAAACCTCTGTTACGCGGGTCATTGCTTCGCAGCACTTGTCCTTCGTAAGGACCAAAAAGCGTCCTTCGATTGGTTGCACCGGTAGCGCGAACGAATATGAGCTCCGCAGTATCAATCATACTCTTCCAGCTGTTCAGCAGTTCGCGTACTTCGTTGACGAGTGCGGTCTCGTTGTAGCGACGTATCGAGGAACCGGCGGAGTGGGCATTCCCCTTGGCGTTGTCGTTGGCAGATTGTGAACCTCCCTGTTTCCTTCTGGTGGTGTATCGGTGGAAAGTCTTGTGAGCGATGACCGTGGCTGACCGCTCGTCTACTCCGTTGTGTCTCTTTCCTATTTTGGGTGCTAACGCTACAATCATAGCTGCAAAATGCCCACCACCAATCATACACAGAAAGTAGTGTGGCCCAATATCCGTCTTGGGCAGTGGAACACCACCCTCGTTCGCCTTGATCTTTGGAGGTTGCTTCGGGGACAGCTGCTTGCTCCGGATGGTCTCTAGAATGTGCGACTCCTCTTCTTGCTCCGCATTCGAAAATATGGCGCGGTATATACCCAGCGATGTGTTGTCCGGCAGTGCGGGCGATGTGAACCAAATCAACGGAGGCTTGCCAGGGCCACTCTGCTTCTTGGATGAGGCAACATCGAACCCGGGATCTGTGATATGAGCTTGCTTCTTCAAAAGCGCACTGAGGGTAGAGTCTTTCGCCTTGCCGCCGCCATCGTCTTCTTCTTCGTCCGATTCTGATGACTCGGAGCCCGATATACTCTCATCCAGGTCTCCAATGAGCTTCTCAAACTCGGCCTCACTCACTGGCTTAGCGCCCTTTATCTTCTGTTTCAAGTTGTAGCCATGGAGGTCAGATCGAACATGACTGCGCTGATCGGTGAGGGACGCGAAGTTGAGGCCGCAGAGGTTGCATGAGGTCGCTTTCGCCGGAGTGGAGTCGTTGTCGGAAGATTTGTTCGCGGTGTTTGGGTCTTGAGGGGGGGTTTCTGGGAGCGACTGTTCGTGCTGGTCCTTGAGTGTGAGGGTGGCCAGGAGCTCTTCGGGCAAATCGAAAACTGCAGATACAGACGTTAGTAGGGTCGCAGACGACGAAAAACTATATTACCGTAGAGTGGTCGCTGCAGTAGATGGCCGTCTTGCGCCATTTGATATTCATATAATGTATCTACTAGCAGAGGTGGTTGTCAGTAGGAGCGGAATCTTTGGTGGGGCGCGTCGAATATGACGTAAGTCATCAGGCACTAGCGTACTCACCTCCGCAATGTCCAAAACCAAAACAGTCACCACTACCTGGACGTAGTGTCATCAATCCACGTCGTGGAGTGGATCGGGCGCGGCCTTCATCCGTTCTCTTGCCAGGGCTTCGGCTTGAGCTCTCAAGTAACCTTGAAAGGAGAAAGGCCCAAACCTTCTCTGGATCTTCGGGTGACCTGTGGTCGAATTCCAGGGGTCAGTCAAGATCTCGAGAACAACAGGATTTGCTGGCTTCTGTTGTCCTGTCTTCAATCTGACAGCATCTTCGTGAATCTCCCGAACTGTACTGGCCAGCGCCTGCAAGTCGATCCTCAATTCACGAAGTGTGTCTAGCACCTGGGCAAGCAACTGCCCACGCGCGGTTGCTGCCGTCCTCAGTGCTAAGACATCGTCCCGTACTTCCCGGAATACAGTCGGTAGGGTATTCATGGTCTCCTAGACCGAATCCACTACCTCCCGGATTGCATAAAGACTATCGCGTTTGCCAAGCGCGAGACAAAGAGAGAGGAAAAAAGAGATAATAGTGAAAATGGCACCGATCAGCGTCCAGACTGACGGAAACCAAAAAGCGAAGGACTCATTCATGATGGTCAAAGTAGAAAAAAAGATTTGGCACGGGCTCAGAGAGAAAAAAAGTGCAAGGTGGCAGGCCTGAGGAGAAAAGAAGGACACACCGAGGGAAGGGAAGTTGATATTTTTAAGGGCAAAAGGCTTGGTATTGCGATTGCACTTCCTGAGTTTGCACTTGCATTTCCTGCTATTGTATGACCAGTTTGATGGCAGGAAAGCGCGCCCAAATTGGCACGCACGTGGATTCGGGCTTGGACATGGGAAACTGCAAGACAGAACGATGCGGAGTTTCAAAATATAAAGCCATCTTTGGTAACTTAAAGCATTCGAAAGAATTTTAGATACAAACAGGAATCATAAATTTATATGTAAGTAGCTTGCTAGGAGCTGGAAGTAGGCACATGCCATTGCATTGACAAGCGCGCGATGTCTATCCCAATCCAGCTACTTGTAAGGCTCTCCGCCATGCGCCATCAGTGATCTCTGCTACACCGCCAGCCTCATTCCATTTGTCCCTTATACTTCCAGGTGGATTATGTGGCGAATAAGCTGACCTACTTTGTTCACTCGGGTCCCACCTCGCCATAGTATTACGCCAATACCAGTTCTCTGGCGTTCGACAGTCGCCCAACCCGCGATACACTAGCACCTCGATGCTGTATCCCTTTTTCACACCTTGCCAATTCATAGTGATGTTGTAATCTGTTGGACAGGAAGTACAGGACCCGTATATAGGCTCGCAGGCCGGGAATGGACCCGATGTGCTTCCCTTCTTAGCAAGCTCAGGAAACGGTATGGGAATGCAGGCAGGAGATTCTTGCAGAAAGGTGAGATGTTCGCAGATTGAACCCCCAGAAAATTCGACGTGGCTTTTAAGCGATACCAAGTCACCTCTGAGCTGCGTCATGGATAACGCTGTCAGTATTAGAAGTTCATCGTTAAAGATGCATGCATGCCGCGATACTGAGCATTTGATTCTGTGCTTGAGAGTTGTGTAATTCCTTCGTTTACTGAGTGCCTGAAGCGGCAAGCCGTGTTCAGGTCCGTAAAAATGTCGGTTCATGACCAAGCGTACATGATGGTAAGGTATGTCGCAGGATAATAGGAAGGAAAGGTACAGATCTATTCGTTTCTTGCATTCCAGACGCTCCATGTAGTATGGAATGGTGGACCTGCTCCAGCGCCCATGCCAGCGATGCAGCTTTACACAGCGAGGACAGTAATAGCGGAATGGAATGTCTTTCTCAAGCAACACCAATAGCTTTTCTTTCTCATCCGATTGCAGAGGCATACTGCGTGGTTTCCAGAGATCGTGAAGAGCCCGGCAGGTCAACGCAAGAGATATCAGGGCGCATTTGTCGAGATATTCTGCGATCATAAGGATAATCTCCAGGGGAAGGTTGCAGGGACCCGGATTTGATAAAGCGAATAGCTGCGGGAAGTGTCTTTTCAAGCGGCTAACCGCTTTTTGGCAGACCGTTGCCACTACCATGGCAGGGTCCACAGGAGGAATATAGATCCCACCCTGAAGATCGAATAATGTTATCGCCAACGCCGCAGCCGCCATGTCGATGCGCAGGTTTCACAAGTCTGTGTCTGAGATACCAACGGGGTTTTGAGGAGCATGCAATTTGGGATATTACGGTAACTTATATACTCCTTTGATACCTCCACTCTTACCGTGGTACTGTCACCCATACAACTGCCGCCATGTGTCGCGGCCGTGCGAGTCACACACTATAGCATCTCAGCAGCAGTGGACGCTGCTTCCCAATGCTAGCTAGCCGAGTGCTCTCTCTAATACATTTTCTTGTGCATTGATTTAGATCAATCTCAAGAAGTACAATTCTTGTTAATCTCATATGTTTGCATCGATTGCGTACGCAGTATTGCACCGAGTCCGGTCTCCAAAACCCAAAACGGGAACCACGATTGGGCTTGACAAGCATGGGTAGGCTAATATTCCAGTAATAGATCCAGTTTGGGTAGTAGCTGGTTCAATTACTTCTTCTCCAAGGTCCTCTACAATTCACTGTTTGAGCTATGCTAACATATCATGAATTTGTCTCTTTAGCTAGCCCCTGTTCACGTAGCAAACACTAAAATCTTCTTTGCTCCATTTGTAGTAGCTAACATAGCTAGATTGGAAGGTATCTGGTGCCGTTAGTATTTTTAGCAGTGGAAAATTTCAGCAATACATAACTAAAGTTGTACTCCGTCTTCTACACCATCTACGGGCTAGAAGCACGTCATTATTACCCTGATTCTGCGGAGAAGAAAGACTACAACTAAGCGCATTAACAGTGATGAACCTCGCATCATGGTAGGGGTAAGATATTGGTCGCATGAACCATGGGTAGAGATATAGTCACGGTTACATCAACTGAGGGTAGAGCCAATGGCGCATTAATCATACGTACGTAGAGGCGGACATATGGTAAACCTACGTACCTATACCATATCTTTACTATCCAATTGCTAACTTGGCTATACACAAGCATTTGACCGGTACATTGGCAAATTAGTGAGTTACCGCGAGAAAATTACTGCTGCCTTATATCTTGTGCTTTTTTGCGGTCGAGGCTTACAAGGTGTTAGGAACAATGAACACAGAAATTCTGACCTCACGTGACCATATGCCTAACTACTATCGCTAAGCTGCTGGGTTTGTGGATCATCGAGGGAAATCGCACCGCAATCAACGAGCACACAAACACAACCTACCGTCATCACCAATACATATCCACTTCTGAGGCTTGTAGCAAGAATGAACCCATCTTTTGACAGATTCAGCACGCTTCCGGACGAGCTGTTATTGCTGATATTTGACCAAATCAAAGCCGACGACAACATTTCAAGCTTCCATACCCTCAACGCAACAAGCAAGCGGCTCCGAAGTCTGACAAACGATTATCTATACTACAAGTTTCATGGTCTGGCTCCAGAACAGCTTCTGCGTACTATAGCGTTGCCACACCCAAATGTACGACCTGAGCTTGCAGATCATGTCAAAGAAGTAGTGTGGTACCAGAGCTATTGGACAAGGACAGCTCTTCAGCGATGTTTGAAGCAGGACGACAGACTGCTGCTTGCAGTCAAACTACGAGATTCTGGGTGGCTTATACACACAAGCCATTCTTCTGGGAATCTGCCTGAGCGGTTCGTCAATTTTGATCATGAGCGTGAGATACACTGGTGGTATCTCGAATTCTTTCTCCTTTTCACACCCAATGTTCAAAAACTCTGTGTGTGGGACACATGGCAATGGGACGACCACTCCTACTGGTTCGATACTATATCACGCAATCCGACCCAATTCAAAAACCTTCAGTCGATTACGCTTCATGGACCTCTACGGCTGGAGAACGTCGTGCCCCTGTTGACTTTGCCGTCGATTCGTAAGTTAGAGCTTACTAAAGTCGTCACCATGCGCCAAGAACCTGGGAAGACTTTCTCGTGGCAAGACAGCACGGACAACACAATAGAACGTATGCTTGCCGGTGGGTCTTCTCTTGAGCAACTAGTAATGAGGGATTCCGATATCTTCTTCCCAGAGGCAATCATCATCCTCGAGAAACTCAATAATCTCAACAGCCTGAGTTACGAACACCTTCCAAGCGACCTCGGATCCCATCCAGAAAACTACCGTGAATTCCTAATGATTGATGAATTGCGACGCCTTTCGAGGATCCCCCTCAAACACCTTCAAATCCGTGGTGAAATACCGCTTGACGAAAGTGTGGTGTCGTCGCTCTTGAACATTAAAGCTCCGATGCTAGAGGAGCACCCATTACATAACCTACATACTTTAGATATCGGGCCTTGCGACAAGAATAGCATCAATGGCATATCTTTAATGATGTACGAAAACGATAGGGATCCTAGTCATAGTAGTATCGCCGATCAACTACCGGATACACTAGAAGTCTTGAACATCAAGTTGGAACCTTTTGGGTATGATAGGGTACCTCTAATTTCTCCTTACTTCCAAATTCTGTCGGATTTCGCTGCGGCTGTCGCTTGTTCGCCGTGTAACCTGAAGCGTGTGAGCCTTGTCGAATGGCCCGCGTGGAGAGACGAGGACTCCGCTCAAGCAATGTTTTCTGTCTTACAAGGGTTGTATAGTAAAGCGGGCATGAATCTAGATGTTTCATTCAAGGAAATTTAGGATGGGGAGTATTTAGTGGTCTTCGAAGATGTTGGACCAAGATGGTTGTAAGCAGACGGGACAGATGCTTTTGATACGTATGCTGAGATAATGCACTCGCTATAGTAAACCATAACCGAATTTTCTGGCTAGTAACATGGGGAAGCATACATATGCATCTGATCACATTTTTTGTATTTGATCTGTTTGTACTATTCCTCCAGGTGAAGCTGAACCGCCGCACGCTTGACTGGTCAACCACATGCCAAGTCTTTAGCGCAACCAAACTGCGGGGCAGCCTGTTCATAGCTACAGCTGTTTGCCGTCCAAACCAAGCCGTATCCAAGAGCTGTTTCTTTATTATCTTTTTTTGAACCTTAGGGTGGTGATTAAGTTCGTTGGCGCACTCTAGCAGCCAAGAGAGTGCGACTGCAGATCACAGGATGGCAACCGAACTGGCGGCAAACCCCGGCTTTGGCGCTCTTCCTAACGAGCTCGTGATGAGCATCATTGATTGCATGCCAATCGAAAACCCAAAAGACATTCGCAATCTTAGCCTGACCAGCCGGCGCATGTACCTTCTCTCGCTCGACCACTTGTACAGTCATATCTTGGTGTCCTGCCCCTGGCCGCTCACCCGAACCCTTCTTCATGATCCGAAGCTCGCGGCTCGTGTCCAGCAAGTAACATGGAATCTAAGTACCGGAAAAGACAATAGCACTGAAAATCGAGAAATGCTTTCAAGGCTAATGAGATCGTTCGAGCCAATCGGAGTAAAATCGTCAATAAATCACGAACGGTTAACTACAACATGGCGCGACCACGAGTTTATGGCCTTCTTCATAACGGTCACACCAGCCATCGAAACGCTTACCATTAAAGAAACGTATGGATGGAGAGATAATAGCTACTGGTTCGGCAAGCCTGTATCAGAAGCAGGAACGCTCCAGAATCTGAGAAACGTTCACATACACGGCCCGCTCTGTCTTGAGCAAATCGCACACTTATTCCGTGTTCCTTCGCTGCGCAACGTGACTGTTGTCGATATCGTTCAGCTGGAGCGCCAACCTTACGATTACGTTGAGTGGAACGATGAAATACCGCTTTATACAGTACTCGAGAGGGGTGTTTCGGGTGTCGAAAACATTGTCCTCAAGCGTGCTTGCGTGGAGACCCAAACACTAGCTCACTTCACCGAGGCATGCAGACAACTCAAAAGTTTTGCCTACGAACATGATACCCACAACAATCTGCGGAGCCGGCGCTCGCCAAATCTCATATCAAAGTTTGAGAGTCTTTCCTCTGCGCTGACACACAACCGCACATCGCTTGAGCGGCTATCTGTCCGCGGCGACCACCACATGCTCTACCAGAAGCACATGCTGCAGGTAGCAAGATTGGCTTCCAGAATGACAAACTTGCGCTCCTTGGATATGGGCTTGATAGCGCACGACGACGATCCAGAACAATGCACGCCCGATTTCGTTGCTGAATTGGTACGCTATCTCCCGCCCACGCTCGAGGAGCTGACATTTGAAATCGACTGGCAGGAGCACTGGGGCTCAAAGGGATGGGAGGGCCCGACGGAGATACTGCGCCTTCTTGCTGATATCGCACCTGCGAGGCTACCTCTGCTCAAGAGAGTAGCGGTTGTCGATTGGCCACCGAAATTGGGGCATTTCCCTCCAGACTTTGCCATGCTATATCAATGCTTTTCTGAGCATAATATACATTTCGCCTCGATTCCTGTCACTATCGACGCGCCAGATCCAATACGGATATCAGACTGTGTCGAGCCTGGGTGGGTTTTTGTAGAAGTTGCTGATGTGGAGTGGCATTACTGAAAATTGAGACAACTCTTCTCGTTCATTCGGAAGCATATGGCTTGCTGCATAAGACTGGTAAGGATGAAACTCCCTTCCCGCTTTTTTTTGGTTCGTCATCGTATAGAAAAGTTACTTCTTCTTGTCACCGAGGACATTGAGTCACTCGCCATACGTTGTCATTCAAGACAGTCTTGTTACGTCGGAACTGCATTTCGAGGAGCGACTTGGTGATGCTGATTGCAGCTTCACCTAAATACTATGATCAGCCCTGGTAGTGTATAGTGTGAGAACGAATGCGATTAAATACATTAGACGTAAATCAGATATGAACCATTCAAGCAATAGTTTGGGAGACCTTTGAAGATGGCATGAGATCGAAGACGAATCTACGGGTGTCAGCAATTCCCCTCGATCTCGAGATTTTGACTAAACCTCTAAATTCAATTTCAGGAGTGGCACACAAACTCCACAATCATATTGATTCTACTCCTGCTATATTTCCCTGGTACTTATACTGCCTATCATTTTACAGTCTGTTGCAGAGAATATAAGAGTCAACTGATGTTCACCCACTCACAAAGAGCACTTTGTGATTCAGCGCCACACTTATTCTGAAACTTTATCAGATGCCTGCTCTGTATACATTAGTCGTACAATATTTACAAACTATCCTCAAAAGGCCCGGTTCAAGCAGCCTTTGTTCGTAATTGCACGCCATGCCAGCTCTGAATCTCATCCTTCAGCACCTCATTGATCATCTTGTGCTGCTTGATGACGGTCAAGCCCTTGAACTTGGGCGACTCAATTTCAATTGCATACATTGATCCGCAGCCGCCGCTGATGTCTTGAACCTATGCGAGCGTGTTAGTAATCGTCGATGCTGACCAAAATGAAACACCCTGATTTGGTTCGGCATGCCGACAGCGTCCGTATGCAAGCCTGCAATATCCAAAGGTCTGGCCGACTGCGCCTCCCGAAAGCCTCTGCAATGCTGATATGACGCGCATATTTTCAATGCAGCGATCGGTAGCGCGACCGGTGTCATCAGCTCCAGACGCTGGCATCTCCACTCTGTGTGATATCTGGGGACAGAAATGCGGAGAAGACATTGCATACCTCTAATTTTACGGGCTCTAGCTCCGATTTCAACTTGTTAAAGACGTGCAATTCCGCCTCGTTCAGGTAATCCGGGGCTTGGAGTGTGGTACTAGCTGACTGCGAATACGCCCTTTTGCATATGCAGAGTTGTGGCTGTCGCACTGGGCGTGACCACAAGGTGGAAGAATGCAGTGTTCTTTTTAATGGAGTGGCGAATTTTGTGATAAGGGGTGAGGTCAATGGCAGACGCAGTGTCGCATTCCCAAAGGCGATAGGGCGGAGAAGGAATGCTCTCGAAGGTGCCATTGTCGTGGTATGAGCGTCCGTGGAATCGGTGTCAGATGCTGAAGATCACAATGTACACCTGTCGTTTCACTTGACTGATAGGATTACGAGATGATTGTTCGGCGGTTGACGCATCAATGGATTGTTGCTTAGCAGTTGCATGTAAACTTCATTCATCGCGAACTTCGTCATAGGGCCCGAGCGTCAATCGTCGAATCACATGACTTGGATATCTAATCGCGATACTGCCACCACTTCGCAAAGCCCAACCCTCGCCAATTTGAGGCAAGACTTCTTACGTACAATATCTGGTTCGCACCATCGAAAGTTCTATCTTTTTCCATCTCAACAAAAAGTGGCTATGCGCAATATGTATCGTGAGGCTAACCACGATCATATCAGCGTTGCACTGGCTGTGCATTACGCCGAGGGGGGTGAGAAGAGGGGATGCCAGCCATCAGCATATCAAAGTACCTCCAAGTACCTCCGCAGCTCGGCAATCTGACTAGATACTGATAACAAATTCTATTAGCAAGCGTAATTCTCCAGAGTTTGCGACCGACGTCGCACATCACACCGGACGTGTTCACCACTTTGAACGGTGGGCGCCGTCTCCACACTTTCGCCTCCGCCATCTTGCTGATAGTGGAGTGCATATCATAACACTCTAGCATCTATGGCCAGCCAACACTAGATGTATGTGTGGGAGAGGCGTCAACCAAGCGGTAGACCTGGACCCCTCCTTTCCAAGACAGCAGCGGCCGAGACCGTTCGGACCCTGATCAGCGCTATGCAGATTATCGGGCAACGTAAACTTTCACATGTTGAGGAGGAGGGAATGGGGGGTTGCAACGTATGCGAGCACCCCTCTACCAAGACATGCGACACGGGCCACGGCAAGCCAATAGCCTGCTTAGAGGCAAGCCCAACTGTGTGCGTACGCCACATTATAGGCTGGGCTGCCCGCAATTGTTGAGGAATCCATTCAACCACTCAACGACGGGCTTGGGCCTACCTCATGTCGAACCGCGCACTGTCCTCTGGTAATCGAGGGAAAGCAAGAGCCCATCGAGCGGGACATGACGCAAGACGAGCTCTTTCAGTTGGTATCACGCCATCATGCCACTGAGGACTGACATGTGTCGTGGGGATAGGACCTGTGCCACATTTCCGAGCTGAGCCACCATGCTTTGGCGCAGCACTGGCTCGGAATGGCGACATTCCTGTTTGGCACTGGCGTGCTCGGCCGTCGTCGCGTTCGGCAATCTATTTCCTCCTGTTAAACGCAAAGATATAGCATTTCCATATTAGGCGACATGGCAGCAGCCAATCAGACGCGCCGACCCCGGCACTTCCAAGCATCGTATACTATCGACTTCACTTTGGCAAATCTCAACGCTGCCTATTTCACAGAATACAATAAACCTTGCACTACCCGATGGCTATACATGTTTCATTTTGATGGGAAACACTTGTATTTATACAAGTATATGGTACTATAAGGCCGTTCATGGGAAATTGTAATATGAAGTGCAAGCCATTGCAATATGGATCCTATGGATCTAAAGATGAATCGCCGAGGCGCGGTAACGCTGGAACGGAGCAGAACAGAATGCCGGAGTACAAACAGGTAGCATCACACTGCTGACCTTTGAGTGTCGACTACATACACCGTTCAGCAAAAGCACCAACATGCACCGCCTCATCTTGATCAGCATTCTGCAAGTGCTAGCAGCAGCTATACCACACCCTCAACCTAGCGACGACTCAACAGCCCCACTCACTTCGCTCTCGGAGATCTTACCAACATCGACTGTTGCCATACCGGACTCGACATCTCTCAACATCCCAGTCACAGCCATACCCACGATCGAGCCCGAGCCGGAGGACGACGGTGGAGATGACGACGACGACAACTACGGCAAATCGTCAAGTCGCTCGAAGAAGCCGCACCGAGAGCCCATTCCCATCTTCACCAAGCAGTGCCAATGTCAGCTGGCCACGGCTCGGTACCCATGTTGGGCTACTGATGCACTACAGGTAAGCAAAGCGAAGAACAGAAAAACAAAAAAAGTGTTGTAGAAACAAACAAAGGTTGCATTAGAAAAAACCCCCCTAACATGAATTTACTTGATAGAAATGTTACTTTGAGGAAAACTTCTCTCACGCCTGTTACATGCAAGCAGCAGGTGGATGTCCCAAGCCAACTCGTGCTGTAAGTTTCTTTCCATATTATCATTCTCTTTTTTTTCCCGCTTCGCCTTCTTTTTTCAGGGTATAAAACAACAACAACAACAACAACAACACTAATTGGTGTGCTGTTTTGCGCAGTGCAAGCAACTCTACCTGCCTACACCGCTACCGGGACCCAATCCCTGCGAGCTAAAACCAAACCCAAACCCGCATGTGACACCTACTCTTCCCGCTGTCCCTTCCTTCCCCACTCTGACTGGCGCTCCAAATGCCACTTTGAGTTTACCTTTTGTACCCGGCAGAAATAGTACGTTTGCGACGGTGCATTCGTCGAGTACGTGAATTGCGGCTTGTGAAAGAAGGGAAGGGGGAATGATGCGAAAGAGTGAGAGAGAAAGAGGAAGAGACAGAAAAAAAAAAGAGTTTCACATGGCAAAAAGGGAAATCAGGACTAGCTACCATATCATCTGTACATAGTAGGTCAAGATGACCTTCCATCCTCCCCTCCCTGATAGTTAGTCTAGATCCCAAAACGAACAATGAGGTTACAGGTGACCTAGTCCCGTGTTCGGATAGCGAAACAATGCACATTTCGGCACATTCATGTAATGCTAAGCACCAGTCTTTTTCCGTACAGCAAATCAAAAAAGAAAGAAAGACACATGTCAAAAATGCGTGACTTAACAACTTACTACAGTCATGTCCGTCTTTTTTGGCCCACCGCTCTACTGCTTCTCCCAAAGCCTCATTTTTTTCCCTTCTTCCCGCTTTTCGGGATCCGTCCGACAAGTATACTAACTGCGGAAGGCATGCTCACATCACCTTAGCTTCCGCCAAGTTCCATGACTCTGTGTTGTTCAGCAATCCACTTTGCTCACCCCCCCCCTTCCTCCAATATCCACCCCCCAAGTCAAGCAAGTTCGCAACATTAGCAGTCTTGAGTCAACGCCCGAGGTGTAACCGCAGGCGCCCTTCCCCCCTTTGCCTACCTAACCCCCCCGCGCCATGTGAATCTCCGTGGTAAAGTGGAGAGAGAAAAGAGTGGACTTGATACAAACATGGGTAGGGGTAGCGAAGCGAGGGGGGAGGGAGCGGCAATGAAGTAATGACAGGTCTAGTGTGATGTACTATTGTTGACGGGGACGAGGGAAGAGAGAGAGGGGGAGTGGAGAGGAACTATTGCTCGGCAAGTCTCCACATAGACACACAGCTGAAAGGAAAAAAATGGAGAGGTAGCACGAGACCATGACCATGGGACGGATAAGGGTGGTTGAGCGAAAGAGGCAAGTTTATGGCTGGATACAAAGGGAGGAGAAGGAGGAGGAGGGGAGCGAGGACGGGCCCCACTCTCAACAGTTCGAGTTTGCTGATGGTGTTGGAGTTAGTGAATTTGGGCCGTGCGGGGCCGCCGCCGCCGTGCGTGGGTGCGCGCCGTGCATTGACAACCGGTGTATTGTTTGCACGATGCAGTATGCTTTCTGACGAGGGCGCAAAAAAGAAGTGGGGACCTGGAGTGCAGCGGTTTCGAAAAAGTTTATGTTGGGGCGGGTTTGGCGAGGCGTGTGGAGGAAGATGGAGAACGGCTTGTGGTCATGGATCAAGGGTTTTGTTGATGGTTTCAGGGTGGGTCGATGACCATGTCGGAGACGACCGACAACCACACACCATCATCTCGATTTCAAGATGTTGCTGAGATGTTCGGCGCATGTTGGGAACTTTTGTGGCTATAGTCGCCAGCCTTGCCTCTCAGGATTGCATCCTACACACCATCCTTCTGGACCCTGGAAGACCCTGTCAACATTCTCGGAGTTAGTATGAGCCGCAGGGTCCGTTGATCGGGATACCGCGGTTCGAGAGCTACTGGCGCTCAATACTAAGTCGAGAATTCCTATCGTATTCGGACCGTACTCGAGGGCGGATAGTGAAGACAAAGAGGTTGCTGTCTATTGTATTATTACATAGAAATGGCCGTGGGGGAGATAATGTTGGATGTTGAGCAACAGCAATGACGGCAGCCCGTCCTGTCTGCATATTGGTTTACCCCAGACATGCAGTCCAACACGGGATCTGCACCAAGTATGTACGCAAACACGTAGGTGTACGTACGCAGCCTTGCCACTCTGATAGTTTACCCAGCCTTGCGTTTCGTCAAACTCATTTTAAATTCCATAATGTCGTCGCCTATCTCCTGCAGCTGCGTCCAAGCGGCCCGGTAGACAAGCTCACCCGTCTCTTGGCTTATGCTGCAAGCAATCCCCTAACACGATGTTGCGACTCGGGTTGGCGTATCTCGGAGTCATCTCCACAAGGACCAAGAAGACAGCTTGGATGAGGCTCCGTGGACCCTGTGTATGTAAACGCTGGTGCTACACTCGATACAGTTTGTGGCTGATGCCAGTCAAGGATCAAAGCGTATCGATGGTGGAGAAGACGGACTGGGTTGGCTGGTTGGCTAGTTGTTGGGAATTCGCCGCTCTATTGGCACCGTAAGCTACTGTGATTGCGGCTCTACAACGGTGGTATTGGTGACATGGCATCCTCGGAAATGTGCCTGAGAGGCTGCAGTTGAATGGTGCTATTAGTCAAGTGGCTTCCACATTGTGGGTTTGATTCTGTCGTCGACAGCAGTGTTGACTGACTGCAGTAGTCGTGCCATGAGAAAAATGGACGTAGACAGAGGAGATTGGCTTGTGCTAAGAATACAGCAGCAAAGTCTTAAGGGCTAATGCTGATATGGTCTAGTGCGACAAGAATTCTGCCCACCCTCCCTCGCTCCCTGCGTCTAGGCTCTCTACGCTGTGGCCACCCCGTATTATTTGTGGGGCATCTGCTTTTTGTGATAACACGGCTCGACATACTCTAAGCACACTACGCTTACATACACCTGCTTACATATGTATGTATACACAATCTTGCTATCATGGCAAGCTCACCCTCCCCCCATGACATCAACTTCTGTGTCTTGTCCCTGGAAGGAGCAAAAGCTTCCGCCCTGGTATCTGATGTGCTCAACGCGACACTCGGCTTGGTTAGGATGCCGCAAAGCCCTGGTTCGTTGGGACAATCCTCCCGCTGCACACGCCACAGATGGGTGAAGGGCAAGATGCATGCAACTCTTCGGCTCAGGGTTTCGGTATGGGGGATGTTCGCTCGCATAAACACAGTACCCGTACCGGCACTTGTGCATCCAGTGTACTGCAGTACTAGGAAAAGCAATGGCGAGACTCGCGAAGGCGCCCTCACCGTTGATGAGTGGGCGTCCGGAAACGAAGGTGAGAGGCTGAGTATGCAGTCTCGAGTTGCACAGCATCTTACAATACATGCCAAGCAGGCACACACCAACGTTCAACAGCGTCTCTATCATAGCCTTGCCTTCCCATGATAATGTACTTCTCACAGAGATCGGTGTGAATATCGGTGTGGATATCGGTGTGGATATCGGTGTGGCGCTGTGGTCTAGCACGACCGACAAGAGATACCCCGCACTACACCATGACCTGTAGGCTCGTCTCCAACCATCCATCTCAAACACACACCCTCTCCTGAAATCGGCAGACCCCTCTTTGTATCCACAAGGCATCCCTTGTGTTGCGTTGATTAGTGGGCATAAGCCATTCAGCCCGATTTAGAGTGTGGAGGGCGGGGTGCTTTTGTTGAGAACAAGCCTGCGCATAGATGCTGCAGGCGTTACGCCCACGCACGTTGTGTGCATGCAACGATTGACAGACGAACTATGCTCCTGGATTGGGAAATTGATGTGCAAAAGCCATCTTACCGGCGTCGTCTGCAACGGTACAACTGCGCGTCAGGGAAGATTGGCGGACGGAGAAATAGACTTGGGAATCTGCAGAGATGGCGTTGCGCGTCTGTAAGCTCACGTTGATAGCAACAAAAGAAACGAGTGGATGCACAAGAGACGCGTGAGGGGGGCGGGTAATCTGTGGCATGTGAGATGGAGGCCTGCAGCCATTTCTCACCTGCTTCGTCTGAGGAGCGCGACAGTGCCGGGACAGCCGTTATCGATCAATGAGATGATTCGTATCGCTTCTAGTCGTGCATTCGTCAGGCCTTCCCTGCGCCCAACTTACTTACACCTACTTTCTGGAGACGCGGGTGGTCATCAGATACGACGGACGAAATGAATACTCCATGGTGTTTGCTTCATATGCGAGTGCATGTTACTTGGTCGGCAGGTTCTCGAAGCCCTGTAGACCAGCCATATGGGGAAGGAGGTCGGACAGTGGTGGACGCTGAGATAAGGAATTCCGTGGCAGGCCCTGCATATTCTCTTCTCTCTCTTGACTACAACTGTCGCGAGTGGTCTGGAGACTTGCTCCGCAGAGATGCCGCATTGGTATTGGACAAGTCGACAAGAGAAGCTCGTCTGCTGGTTCCAACGCAGGCACACACGTAATGTCCGCTTTAGCAGACCAATAAAGTATATGGACTTGAGGTTGGAGCTTACGCGGGCTGCCAGTCATTGGCACGCTGCTAATCAAGTTGCCGTTTTGCGCGAGGCTTGCCCAGTGCTGCCACTGACATAGAGCTACCCGAACTAAATTCCCCCGCAAGATTTGTTAATATAGCTTCGCTTGAACCATGGTGTTGGAAAGTGGATTGCAGCCGTTCCGTTGATGTTTGGAGATGTATGTAGTATGTATGCATGCGTGCGGTCATATTGCTTAATTCTCACCACACCATCGTATTGATGATGCTGGTCTCCACTGCAACATGAGGTACGAACAAAGTTGCCTACCATGATCCTCATCGGCCCTTTCCTGAGTCTTATCTCGGGGGGCAAGCGCCCTTTTCGGCCCGCCAGCTATGAGATGATGCTACAATACCGGCTTGGTCTGGTATCATAGCAATGCAGGCCATGCAGACTCGCAGTGGTTTCCACTGTCAAGCCAGTCTCATCACCAGGCGTTGTGATACTAGTAATATGGGGTCGCGCGGGAACGGGGGGGTTGGAATAGCGGTGAGCGCTCTAAAAAAAAAATGTTGCAGGGAGAACCACAACCGTTTCAGTGGTTGACAGGGCAGGGTAGGCCTGTTCGGGATGTGCGGATAGAGCAGAATACCTCGATTCTGCTTTGTGATTATATTGAACAAGAAAGCCAGAATTGACATCACCTATCGTGATCATGTTAGGCGAATCGACATCTCCACAAGAATGCCGTAGGCGTGGGGATGCAATTCCAGCTTCGGAGGTCCGTGACACGATTCGTATTACGTGTACGTGTCATGTCCGGCATCGAAAATCATCGTGACGTCGTGATGAATGAGCACTGGCGCTTAATTGCTGTGCTGCTTCTGGACAGCAACCACGGCACATTGGACAAAGGAGAATGGTGCGAGATTGCGTGAAACAACAACGGGAAGTCGAGCTGAGCGTGGATATGCATGGCAATAAGAGAGTGTCGTGCGACTCTTCGCTTGCAACATAGTAGTATTGTGGGCAGTCGAGCAGCAATTTTTGTTTCTTGAACACGCCATGGGCTGATGAATTAGCTGACAGGTTGCCTAACAACGGAACAAGGTCGTCACTGCGAACAACGGCGGCGCCATGTGATCAGCGTGACGGCGAGGATGCAATCTTTGCTTGGACGATGACGGGTTCTAGGCATAGGCGGCGGATGCGCATCCTTCCGGAACGGTGTGTATTGGAGAGGCCGACTAGTTTGCAATGTGTTGTTGTTGTTGTCTCGGCTGGTGGAGAAGAAGCGAAAGCAGAAAGCAGGCATCCTGCAACAAAAGGGCCGTGTTTATAACATGTACATCGCAATCTGGTCAATGTGATACCTGATGAGTCGCACCGAATGATTTGCCCATCGCGATTGAGATTCTGTCGTCGCGATCGTGATGGGTCGGAGGGGGGATCGGAAGCGGACTAGCGGCATGCGGATCTGGCCATAGCTCAGCCAAGCAAACGGGTGGGGATCGATAAAGTGTAGGACATCGATGATAACAAGTCCGTGCCCTGGTCGGGCGGTGATGGGGTCGGCAGCTCCATGGCAACTGAATGGAGGGGCGCGTTTGATTTTCTGCCGGGCAAAATCCAGCAGTGGGACATGACATGACGCCATGTGGAGCTTGCTGGGGCGCTGGGTATGATGGGGGCTAGCGTCATGGGCGGGCAGTGGTCTGGCCACAATCCAGACGTCGCGACAGGTGCGAGGGTGTGGTTTCAGCGTGCCGCTCAATGGGAGTATTTTCATGCGAATGACCTCGCCAGAGGCATCGGATTGTTTCTTTTCGATGCAGGCAGGCCCGAGCAGGGTGCGGCTCACGAAGCGATGTGCTCTGCTGACTGTTGCGCATGTGTTGTGGTGGTGGTAGTAGTAGTAGTAGTAGTAGTAGTAGTAGTAACTAGACACACCGGCAGGCAGGCAGGCACACACACACACACATGAGTACATACATACAAATGGCATGTGCACGTGGCGACAGCTTCTAAATGCAGCTTGGTGAAGACAGAAAGTGGCAGAGGTAGAGTGGTCTAGCGAGCGAAGCGCGATTCAGACAAGCGGCCAGGTGCATCGAAGCGTCTTCGAAAAGAAAGCAAGTTTTTTTTACCTGGCCAGTGGAAGCGTCGGCCTCCGAGCGAGCCGCACGCTGTGGCAGAGCGTCCGTGGGCGGCTTCCACGGAGACGCGTACATAGGCGCGCGTAATAATCAAGGAACCGTGGGACGAGGGATGCGGGCACAGCAACGAGGGCTATGGCAGGAGATTAGCTCGGCCACGACAGGGCGACAGGGCGACAGGGCAGTGTCTTTTGCAGGGCCATGTGTGTCGTAGATAGATACTAGATACATACGTAGCAGCATGCACGGCTATGGACAGGCTAGAGGGTCAAAATGCGGGGAAGCTGTGAAGGGTGAAGTGTGAGTGTGTGTCGGTGCCGGGCACAGCCAATGGCACGAGGCTGGCAGCATGCTGGCTCAGTAACCAAGGCTTCCAGCAGGTGGATGGCCTGCCATAGGGTTTGCGGTGGGCGGAGACGCATTGAGTGATCCCCGCAGGCAAGACGCTGAGAAGAGCCTCTTTGCCCTATGACATGGCGGGCTGGCACCAAGGGGCAAGGCAAGGCAAGGCCAGCCAAGGCCAGGCTGCGGGATGGCCCCATGGAGCATCAGACGGTCAAGGCGGGCGGGCAGTGTAATGATAGCAACCGCAGTGTGGGCACGTCGGGGGGAAACGAGAATTGCACGAGCTGGAGCTGGCCAGGAGCGCAGACGAGATATCAGGCAGGCGCAGGGGTTGGGTTGGGGAACTGCGCCTGGGATGGCATGCCAGGCCGTCCCTTGCTGGGGCGGGCGCTGATTGGACGAGGGCCGACCGCCTTTTTTGCAGGCGGCAAGCGGCACCGGCGATCCTCACGCTGGCTGCGTGCTGAGCGTCGCGGAGGGAGGGGGAAGGGATATTTTTCACGCGAGGGCGGGCGAATTGCGAGGGCGGCTCCCATGCCCCCCTCCGATCATCCAGGCACCGCCACGGCTCCACTGATACGTGTCGGACAACAACCATGGACGTGTTCACAGTCGTGTTCGTGGTCGCGGTCAGTTGGTGAAAGAAGGATGCAAAGATGCAGACACAAGCGCCGTTTCTGGGGCATGAGGAAAAAACGGCGGAACAAAAAAAACAATGACATCACGTCTGGAATGGCTCGCTTGAGAACGGGGGGCGTGCACGCACCCACGCAACGAGGGACACTCGGTTGTCGCTTCTGAGACGAGACGAGCGAGCGAGCAAGCATGAGCACCGTCCACCGTCCCCCAACGGCTGAGTGGCAGATTGCGAACGGTCGCTGTTTGACCACCACAGCCTGACTGACTCTTTGTCACTAGCCAGGCAGGCAGGCAGACAGACAGACACAGACACAGACAGGCCTCGCCGCCCCCACGACTACGCTCTGCTCCGGCCCTGCTGTCGGTCGGGCCACTCACACACTGATAGCGGCCGGGGCCTCGACCGACGGGCCTCATCACAGTCAACAGGCCGAGCAGCAGCATCTGCATGTAGTAAGTAGCAACGCCTGTCTGTATGTACGTGTGTGTTGTTGGACCAGAGCCACGCCCGCCCACCATGGTCACAGTAATTTATTATGTGTACGGGACCACAAACAACCATCCCCAACCCGGCCGGCCTGCCTGCACCGTTTCCAAGTGTGGCCGTGCCAGCAAGGCCAGCTCGCCCTTCGCTTGACGTCGGGAGATAAACAAGATAGCATTTGGTACTAGAGCCGGCGCTGGCGGCGTCTTGGGGTGGGTAGGTTGGCTGCACCGCTGGCCGCTCGCCGATGGCCGCTGCTGGGTGGGCGTGGGCGGCGGTGGTGCGAGCAGCGAGCAGCCAACAGCCCGATACAACTCTTGTACCTCATCGTACCTCGTGTTTCGCCCTCCGCCGTCGGCTTCACTGCCTCGCGCACTAGCAGCTCCCCCCCCCTCCCGCCGTAGTCGTCGTCGTCGTCTTCTCGCAGCAGTAGTCAGAACCGGACGCTGCCGCTTGGCTGCGTGCGAAAATCCTTGGTGCTGGCCCCCCCGGCTTGTTGAGCGGCGCGCTAAATCTTGCTCCCTTGTCCCTGTCCACCCCCCCTGCGACATGAGCGCCGGGCTAGAATCGCTTCTCACCACCCGAATCCAACGACTCCCCAATAGTCGCCGCCCTGCACGTTCTTCTGCGCTACCGCCCTCAACACTCTTCCCCATCCCTCCTCCTCTTCAACACTTGCTGGGTCCATTGCCGCCGCAGACCCTTTAATACCACGACTGCACACCATCCACTCCAACTTGGTTTGACACTCGACCCTGCGGCCTCCTCCCTTCAACCGTCGACTCGCCCCACGGTACCTGCTCTCCCCAGGCTCCATATCACGCCGTGGTCCGTCTGCCTGCACCCGAGCATCCCGTCCACACGGCGACGCCGCATCTTGTTGCTTCATCAACAGCTTCACTTTGCGTCTTGCGTCTCGCCTTGAGCAGACTGACTGCTTCCGCTTATATCCCCCGACGTCATCGCAGCTTTCACTAGCTGTGACATTCTTCGTCGCGACCCTTCCTGCCTGTGTGGTCCCCCCACGAACCAGCTTTCCAACCCCTTCCTCGACCTACTTCTGTAAGTCGACCCCCACAAAAACAACAACTTGGTGTCATCATCATCATCATCATCACTCACTCAGCCGTCCCACGGCTTTGTGCCTGCCCAACTTTCCTTGTTTGTCGGGGTCCGTTCACTCGCTTACACTCACATTTCTAGACTTTTCGCTACAGTAACTCTTTTAATGCTCTCTACGCCTTGATTGCCCTCGCCATCCACCCGTTCGACCTGCTTCCCAGCATCCCACGAAGCCGACCGAATGCCTTACACACCTCCCTCACAGCGGTCCCCGGCAACCTCCAAGACTAGCAGTCCTACACTAAGCCGGAATCACTCCTATGTCGATCAGCCACCCCACTCGCCGGTGACCGCCCGTCGCCCATCACTGCCTCGCTCCGTCTCGTCAACCTCGTACCTCGCAAAGTCACGGCGGTCGTCGACGTCCGTCACAATAGAGAACACTGTTGCAAATGGCCTGTCTCCCAATACCACCACTGACATCAAGTCCGACGCCACCCAGCATGGCCCATCCACAAACGGTAGCCTACGCCCATCTCCTCCTCCTGTAAACGATCTTCTGATTCCGTCAGGTGCGATTACCACACCGCCTGATTCCTCGGATGACGAAGAACGTGGACGTCGCGTAGGGGACCTGCGTGAACTGCAACAGGCTCTCCAAGGCATCGACCAGAAGAGACAGTCATCACCTTCCGCAGAGGTCACCGAGAGGGTCAAGGACTCCAAGCCACAACCCCCCGTCACACTGGCGCGCTCTCTCTCGGCCGAGGCACGCAAGATTGCACACTCACGCTCGTCGAGCGAGATCATGCTCTCCCAACACATGATGCACCCCATCAACACTGAGACCATCATCAGCTCGTCTGATGGTAGTGATGCTGAGGATGATGAGCTCCGGATAAAGCCCCCGCTACTACGCAAGAAGTCTGGTGAGCTTGTCAAGCCAGCTCTTCGTCCTCCTTCCAGGCGTCGCCCATCCAGCATGCCCGGCACCCCCACCTACTCCAAGGCGGTGCACTTCAACGAGGAGATTGAGCAAGTACGCCACTTCCTTCAGGTCGACCGACCCATCGCTGTCAGTGCCGGCTCGTCACCCGTCGAGACCTATGACAGCGAGAGCGAGTATCCGTTCGCGGACAACTCTCGGTCCAAGACACCTGAGTGGGACATCAAGCTTGCAAACTTCCCCTCATCGAATAGCTACGAGCGACAGACTGCTCCAGTCCGAGTTGAGCGCATCTTCCTTGCTTCTGATCACCAGACTCTGGTTGGCAACATTGCCGTTGCTAACCTGTCCTTCCACAAGCTCGTCGTGGCTCGCTTCACGCTCGACTACTGGAAGACTACATCAGAGGTAGTTGCCGAGTTCAACCACGACGTCCGCAAGAAGCAAAAAGAAGATGGCTACGACCGCTTCAACTTCAACATCAAGTTGGCTGACCAAGCCAACCTCGAGTCCAAGACTCTGTTGTTGTGCGTTCGTTACCAGGTCAATGGCCAAGAGTATTGGGACAACAACAATGCCATGAACTACCAGGTCGACTTCACCAAGAAGGCTAAGCAACGGGGACACAAGCGCCCCACCGCTAGCCTGGGTGCTATCCCTCGTAGCAGGCACTCACCTCTTGCTCCTCGCCCACGCTCAATGCCCGCTGCTTCGTTTGACGACGATTTTGGCCACGAGTTCGAGACCAAATTCCAGTTTGGTAGCGGACGTGCCATCATCGGCGACTCACCTAGCTCGGTCATCAAGCTGAAGCCCAAGAGCAAGCGTACCGTCCCCCAGAACCAGGCCCCACCTTCACAGGTCAGCCAGGCTTTCGCCTCTCGCTATGACTTTGGTGCATCTCTCACTGCTGCTCTGTCCAACGCTCAAACCGCACTTGGTGACCGCAGTGGACTGAAGTTGGACAAGGACAAGATGAACAAAGGCTACTTTGATCGTTCTATTCCTACGGCTCAGCCTCACTCTACCAGTGCTCCTATTCCCGGCGCCCGTCCCGACTCTCTGACTTTGGAAAAGCCCGATCTTCAGTCTGCAGAGTACAATGAGTTGATCCAAAAATTCTGCTTTGTACGTTCCCAACCTCCATCTCAGCACCCTGATCGATTGGCCTAGACGGAGACTGACTCGCATCCAGTTTGGCACCCCGACTGGGAAAATCTCTCCAAATGTCACCACGCCTGCCGTCAGGCCTACGCAAGGTGACGGAGCTCTTGACTACATGAACAACAGCTCTGGAAGCAACCAGTCGTCGGCTACCAGCAGTCCTGCGTCCCCTGCCATGCCCGTCATGGCAGATGGTGCCAGTGACTCTGTCTCATTCCTATCTCGCTCAGCTTCTCCCGGTCCTGTCACCGGCTATGCACCTGAAGACCGCTATGCCTCCTCATATGAGTATGGCTACACGATGCCAGGTGGCGCCTTTACCGAACGCAGCCACACCCCTCAGGCTTGTGTCTAAAACAAAAACAAAAACTCACCACCTTACCTGAATCACGGATGCTTTTTTTCCGTTTAACGAATCTCCTTGGACACGAAGTACGCTTACGACCAGAATGATTGGCCGAGTGGAGCGGACGTTCCTGGTCCTCCAGGTGCAGAGCGCTCACGAATCTTCTTCATCACGGTACGAAACGTTGTAGTGGGCCAGCCATTGCCTTTTTTGCGCCGTCCTCCTCAGGACGTTGCCCTTGTAGCATCATTCGGCCGGCCTGTTTGCTGCATTTCCACATTGGTTTTTCCTGCATCTCCTTCCTCTTTTCATGGGCGCAAACTGGGTTTCATCATGGTGTTCCTTGGGTATGCTTATTCTTGGATCTTTTTTTTTCCTCTCTCCCCGACTGTCGAGCGGACTGCGATGCTCTATGAGCGATTCCACTCTGGTCACTGGCGTTTGTTGACGGTTGTTTCTGATCTGCGGTTCGCAAAAGCTTGGTTTTGATTTGCATTTGAAGCGTGTTTTCTCTCCGTTATCCCCAGAATTCGTCGATTCGAATGGTCGTATATAGGCACTAGGACAGACAAAGTGCGAGTTGGTTGTTGTAAGAAATATCAAATTGCGTCGGTTGAGATTGTGTGTTTTTGGTTGGCCGTGTTCCGATTGTGTGTGTGGTGGTTTCGAGGGTTGTCGCTCGGCGATGGGAGGAAGCGGGACACTCGGCCCTATATAGCAGTTAGCAAATGCAAAAGACATGGCATAAAAACTTACCCGGATCTCACGATGCCCCCACTTTGTATGTACCCCGTGAGCATTACTACGGCCGAACATAAGGCCATTGGGCCTGGATCGTGGGCTTGCTAGGCCATGTGACTGTTCGCTAGACGTTCTGCCACGGAGGTAATGCCCGTCAGGCGCTGACCGCCTGCCGCATTCTGGCCAACTAGCCCTCTATGCGATTTCACGATTGGGCCCTGAGTCGTCCTCGCAACTTCATCTCGCCCAAGCGCAAACACTTCACAGCATTCTTCGGCCCATTCCTACCCGAGCCACCATCGTGACCTTGCCTCTGACATTTATGTGTCACAATGTCCTTCTTTGGTAGCAAGAAGGCTCCGCCTCCGCCTCCCCCACCACCTATCCCTCGCTCCGGCCCGAAAATTGACGCAACAACTGTCGTGTCGCTCTTAGCAGTCCTGGCCCTTCTCGGCGGCGCCTATGCAGCATCCATCAAAGTCCTGCCCAAAGCCACGACTAAGAAGACGCGCGTTCTGTTCATCTGGCACCTATTCGACGCTCTGATCCACTTTGTCTTCGAAGGCTCCTTCCTCTGGAATTGTTTCTTTGTCACGTATTCGCTCCCGACTTCCTTCTCATCCGCATCGCGCCATCATCCACAAATCACCTACTTCACGCCGCCAGATGTGTATTGGCTCGGTCGGTCGGATTTGCTCTACGGCGCAAACTATGGAACCGGTCCGTTCAGTCGACTGTGGCAGGAGTATGCGAAGGCGGACAAGCGATGGGGTGGTACCGATCTGACCGTGGTCACGCTCGAGATTCTGACGGTTTTCGTGGCTGGCCCATTAGCGTGTTGGATTTGCTACCTTCTCTCCAAGGATGAAAAGAAAGGCGTGCTGAAAAAGTATTTCTGGATGATAGTTCTAGCCACGGCAGAGATATATGGAGGTAAGTCAACAACAAACATCAATCCATTTTTGTTGCGGTGGACATGTAACATGTGAAACTCGCCGCTGTCATCACTATTGGTGAGGCGACATGTGGGCCCGGCCCGAGCAATTGTTGAGGCGAGACGACACTGCGTTGTTGCGAGTATGAGGCTGACACGTGGTTCACCGCTCCACTAGGCTGGATGACATTCGCACCTGAGTGGCTGACGGGAAGTCCCAATCTCGATACCAGCAACTGGATGTACCTGTAAGTGCACTTTCCCCTTTTTTTCCATGCCCTGTTCCTGGCCAACATCGCTTTCTTGCATGTCTGCGTTTCGATGGGCAAACGGCCCACGCCAAGCCCCGGTTGGATAGCCGGCACTCCCCGATGTCGTTGTACATGTACCTTGCGTCGACGCCAAACAGCAACGTCTTGTCCAGAGCTTCTGACATCCAAACGTGATGTGTTGGCCCTGCATAATCACTGGCTGCTGGCCGATTGGCCCACAATAACCCTCCTATCCCTCGATACACAGCGCGACACAAGTCGATGCAACGTACCATCGTCTCCATCTTGAACTCAACATGTCGCTGCTAGATATCAACAGTTTCACTCTTGGATAGTTCGTTGGCTCCGAGGACTCCAAAACTGACAAGTAACTCAGTTGGCTCTACCTTACATTCTTCAACGGTCTCTGGGTCGTCTTTCCCCTCTGGATTCTCTATGAAGCCTATCAGACTATCAGCTCTGCCATGTCGCGTGCTGAAATGGTCGACCTGGTGAATTATCTAAAGAAGGACTAAGCGGTCTTCTGCGTAGACATCCGTGTTGTTGCCGCCAAGAGAGGGTACACATGTAGTGGTGCTTCCTCGGGAAGATTATCTACCAGAGAAGCCTACGTGAATGCTTTCCTCGGCAAGATTATCTTACCAGAGTGCGTACTCCACGACTGTATGGTCATGACTCGGCCTCCTACGAAGGAAGAAAAGGTATGCGTTGGTATTCTAGAACATCTTGGAGTCTTCGTTGTCTATCTCCCGCGCGTACCCACATGTTGCAGCACGGATAACACGGCCCTGGTAGTAAAACTAGTTGTCAACTTGAGTAAAATGAACTTTCTACATTCTTCATTATCCACAATCGTCCCCACGACATGGAAAAAAATACGTGTACAAACTTAAAAAAAAACAAGTTCCTCGTTATACTTCCATGCTGACCCTTCGCTCCCCTAGCGGACAAAAAGTGCTCAACACAACTTACCTCTCTTCCACACTAAAAGCGCCCAAAGTCATTCCGCGGAGCAAAAAGAACAGCTGTACCAGCGCAACGACACTAAATCCAAGCGTCGTCAGCTCTTGATCTCTGCACATCTGCTCCCCGACTACTGCCACAATTCTTAGTAGCATGTTTCAACTCCATCTCCAATACTCTACCTGCCGGCTCAATGGGTTTGCGCAAAGTGTGTGTGTGTGTGTGTGTGTGTGTAGCGCTATGAAATATATATGTGAGAAGTGTGTGTGTGCAGCAGACGAAGGATTTTTGACAGCCATCTCAATTTCTAATTGTGAAATCTGGATTTTTGAGTGTAGGTAATGTATGTACTAACCAACTTGCCTTTTTTTTTACCCCACACAGCCAGTTCTGTATACAATTTTCTTGCTTGTTCTGGGGGGAAGAAAAAAAAGAACGCAGGGACAGGGACTGGGATTACGCCATTGCACTTGCTTTTTCCACGTTGAGAACCGTTAATTCCTAAGAATACACAAGGATGGTCTTCGTGCTGAACCTCCAAAAAAAACTTTACTCTCAAGAATCTGGGCTGGTTTATGCGTTTAAGTACATAAAATACCTAATAACCGCATTATTGCTCATCCTTTTTCCCTCCCCCCTCACAACAGCAACATAGCCCACCGCACAATGAAGGTATGCCCCCCCCCCCTGAACCATGACATCAAGACATTAACCCCCCTTCCCTTCTGCTATATCGCGCCTTCAGATTAATTGGCTTCAACAAAAAAAACATCGACCCATACATCCCGCGCCCTTTGTGCCTGCGTATGTTTCATGAAACAAGAGGGTTTACAGATGAAACGTTTGTGTCAGCCCGGGAGTGGCCTGGCCGCGGGGGGGACATGGGGGAGGGGGGAAGGGTAATCCATCTTATGTCAGCTTACCTTAAATTTCTGTGTGTGTGTGTGGTGTCATATCCGTAGTACAGTGAGTATATGCACAGGTCGGCGACATGTACGTAAAACATGTCAAGAAAGTGCGGATGGGAAATTATGAATTGTTTGAAACCAAAACTTTGTATGGACCAAGGACGGATATTTTTCAAAACACTGATTTTTCTGAATTATGCACAAGAGACTAGGTAAGAATATATATAGAAGAACCTGGGGGGGGGATACCAGTCCCCTCCCCTTCCCCCCCCTTTTGGAGCCTGCCTGCCTCTCTCTCTCTTCACTGTCCATCCCCCACATTGTTTACGTCCGCAAACAAGGCGGGCGGGGCGCGTCTTAGGCATTTACTGAACAGTAATCGTCGCCGAACCAGAACTCTGGTAACCTTCGGTAGCAAGGATCTGGTAGTTGTGCTGACCAAGCTGGAGACCGTATTTGGCCCAAGCATCAAAATGGGCCTGTTTTCGTTAAAAAAAAACACAACACACACATTCCTTGGTAGCCTTGGTTTGTCCTCACACGTGGGGAAGGGGAGGATTGGAGAGATTGCATATTTCAAGACGGGAGGAATTACGTACCTGGATTGTGACGGTACCGCCGACGCGCTTTTGACGGCGGACGGACCAGAATTGCTGGAATGTAGCGGTGTCGTCGATGGAGGGCTGGTTGTAGCGGGTGGTTTGCAGGATATCGTATGTGCCATTGTCGATTGTGATGGAACCCTTGATCTGAGCAGCAGATGAAGGGTTATAGGAGCCGTAGGATTCGACGATGTAGTATTCGACAAGAGGGTTACGGGTCCAGCCGTACACGGAGATGTAAGAGTTGACGTTTTGGGCGTTCCAGGTGCCGCTGTAGGTGAAGGGCTGGGTAGTGCCGGGGTTTCTTTGGGGGCTACGTTAGTATTGTGGTGAAAAATCACCATGCGGATATGCTGCAGTTTACGTACCGTCCCTTGCCAGCTACGAAGTTGTTCACGTTGTTCCACTGTACGCTGTACTGGCCACCAGGGCCATTGTTGTAAGTAACTTGTCCTTGGCCATCAGTCCAGAAGGAGTAGAAGTAGCCATTGTCGTAACCAGTTCCGGGTTGAGTGGAGCGAGTGCTCAGACTGGTTGTCTCGTGGCGGGCCTTTGCATCGAGAATGAGGGCGAGAGGCGAGGCGATGACCGCAGAAGCGCTGCTAAGAGCAAGCAAGAAAGAAGAGAAGGCAACCATGGTGTCAATTGAAGTAAAAGTTGTGGAAATGCTCGATGACCTTCTATGTTCTGGGCAACGCGTTCCTTTATATGTGCACTGATGGTGGATATACCAGGATGATTGTTGCTAGGGACTTCCGAGCACCGGTGGCAATGTGATGCACCAGGCAAGGCCTTACAAATTACCATGTGTCGGTGTTGAGATGATTGTTTATTGAACGGCGTATAGCCACCGCTGCAATATGGGGCATAGGGGCGGCATCGCGCGAACGGTCGTAAGATGTTTTAGCCGCACTTCAGAGTAGCAGAAACCACCGGCTATTCTGGGTTCAAAGTCGTAATTGGATTCGTCTTTGGTGTTCGCGATGGCGAAATTCTCAGATTTGAAACTTACTATTCCAGGGATTCAAGTAATATTCGATGCTGACTCCCCATGTTATAGGCCCGACAAAGGCTGATGCAACATGGTCAATCATAGAGCATGGCGGTATTACCAGAATAGCACCGGCCCGCTGTGCCCGAATCCTATTTTTTTGCTGTTTTAGAAATGTTTTGTCACTACAAGTTTTGGTTCTTTGCATCGTGGTAAGGTACAAGCTTTCACTGACTGATCAAGCTCACCCAAGAGTTAAGCTAAGAATTGCCGTGCGTTGGCACACCAATCTATTCGTATTCATACATTATTAGCTTGTGCCTCATATCAACTTCGGGGCATGGGACGCCAGCACATGATCAGAAGTGGATTGATCAAGGAGGGGTTGGAAGCAGTTACACCTGGCGTACAAGCATTTAGCCGGTCTCTACATCACCGCTCGGGGACTGTTCGAGGCATGATCGGCATACTCGTGCATTCCACCATGTGGCAAGCCATGTGGCAAGCCATGTGGTACGGTAATGGATACATTGCGCCAAGGACTTTGGAGATCCGAGGACTTGTGATGACGACGGGTGGTGACGTGTTGCCAAGAAGGGGAGGTGGTGGGTTTGCATTTATAGATTAAAACACCCCTATATCATAGTCGGCGCGTCTTTGATTGGGTATCTTAAGGACTTAATTTCGCAAAAACCTTGTTGGGCCGTGTCCGTTGTGCATTTTTCGACAGCATCAGCGTCGGTTGTTCCATAACTGGTCAATGATTTGGAAGACGGCAGTGACTAGTTTCATAGTATCCGCATCCATATGTTCTCTGAACCGTTGTTGCATCTTGTCAGGATGCCAGCGGACTCGCTCGGCCTTGAGCAGTGCAGCAGAGTCCTCTCGCCACGACTTGGAAGCCCGCAAGAAACGCTCGATTTCATCTTTTGACACATGCTTTGCCTGTCCCGACACTACAGGCCATGGAATCATGTCGCGTGCCTTGGTGGCTGCTCCGTCATTCGCGTGCTGGGCGTTCTTTAGACTATCCCACTTGGCCGTATAACTATCCCAAGCAGCCTCTGCTTCTTTGGCCTTCTTGCGTTCTTCACCCCTGCGTATACTTTCTTCCATACGACGTCGTATGTCCTCCCTTTCTGCCTCTTCACGTTCGAGTTCCTCGTCAAGTTGGCTGCGCTGTGCCTTTCGCTTCTGGCGTGCCCGCTCTTTCGCTTCACGTTCCTCGAGGATGTGCTGGTGACTCTTTTCCCACATTTTGGTGCGCACGTAGTCGGCATACTCCTCCTCGGTCATGCGCTCCAGCTTTCCGTCTGCACCTCGTTTTACATCGGGATAGACATGGACAGGCTGGCCATATACACCTTCCCAATATGCAGCACCCTCGTCGTCGGCAAGCGCATCGAAGAGAGACTCGCGGAATGCATCTTCGGGTGCCGTTCCTGGAGATGCGGCTCCTGATTCTTCCAGATTGTCGAACAAAGATTCTCGATGCCGGTGGTCTGGGTCATAGTATGTGCCGTCTCGGGTGGATGTGGGATGACGGTCATCATGAGTGCGATGTTTGTGCTTGTGTTTGCGTCTTGAATGCCGGTGGTGCCGTCGCGCATCCTCGTCTTGATCTGCTTTGTGTCTCTTGCGACTGTGCTTGTCATTATCTTCGTGATTGTCCTCGTTATCGCGGCGCTTGGAGCGACGTGTGGAGCCAGACTTGAAGTGAAATGGTGAGGCCTTGGCTTTGGCGTAGAGGCTGTCCTCAGTCGCACCGCTAGCCTGCTCCCCCATGATGAGGACTGTGGTGCCTGAATACCCAACCTTGCATGAGCGTTAAAGGGAATATGCGCAGGTTGCCTGCGACTGTAACCATGGAACAAAGTTGGATGCGGAGGAGGTGCGGAGGTGCTGATGATCTCACTGGTGCGCGAAGGCCTTGGCATGCGACGTCCAACTCGCGTTCGCGACCTGGCCTATCATCTAGCAACAACACACATCATGTCATTCAAGTTTGGGTTAAATGTAAAAGCCAAGGGTAATAACCCGCTCGCCAAAGCTGGAGCGAAACCAGCACTTGGAAAGAAGAAGAAACCGCTATTCGGTGACGATGAAGACGACGACGTAAAAGGCAAAGCAAAGGCAGCAGACGGCGTCCAAGAAATTGGAGAGCTCAACTTTGAAGACACACTTGCATCTGCTTCGTCAGAGCCTTCAAAACCCGCCCCATCAAAGCAAAAAAAGGGCCAGCCGCCAGCTCCTCCGAGCAAGAAACCCAAGCCGAAGGAAGATGATCCTACCAATGTCGCATACTCCGCCAGCGCCGCCGAAGCCGAGAAACGGGCGCAGGAAGCCCTAGAAGCCGATGCCACACTCTACGACTACGACGCTGCCTATGATGCCATACATGCGCAAGATGCTGCAAAAGCGGCAGCCGACCGTCAAGACGCTGCTCAACGGAAACCCAAGTACATGGACGCGCTCTTTGAGTCGGCCGAGCAGCGGAAGAAGGACCAATTGCGCGCGCGTGACAAGCTCTTGCAACGTGAGCGAGAAGCCGAAGGCGACGAATACGCTGATAAAGAGAAGTTTGTGACTGGCGCATACAAAGCGCAGCAAGAAGAGACGCGCAAGGCCGAGGAAGAGGAGAAGAAACGGCTAGAGGAAGAAGAAGGCATGAAGAAGAAGTTTGGTATGCAGGGCTTCCACAAGCAAATGCTTGCTGAGCGGGAGCGACGACATCAGGAAGCCATGGAAGCTGCCGCACGCGCCTTCAAAGAAGGTGTCAAGCTACCAGCCGAGGAAACCGAAAAGGAAAAGACCGATGCCGAAATAGCAGAGGAGCTACGCAAGCAAGGAAAGAAGGTTGTACTCAACGACGATGGCCAAGTAGCCGATCATCGCCAACTCCTCTCCGCCGGTCTCAACGTCATTGCAAAGCCCAAGCCCACTTCTACAGCTTCTGCCTCTTCCTCCGCCGCCACAGATGCACCCAAGTACACGCCTCCCTCACATGGCATTCACAAGGGAGGCCGCAATGCACAGAGAGAGCGCCAGACAGCCATGATTGCCGAGCAAATCGAGGCTGCAAATAAGAGAAAGGCAGAGGAGGAGGCGGAGGAGCAGGCGAAGATTGAACGCGCAAGGAAGAGTCAGAAGACGGATCAGGATATTAGCAGTGCGAAGGAGAGGTACTTGCAGAGAAAGAGGGAAGCTGCTGCAGCAAAGGCGGCTGCTGGTGGGAAGTAAATAGAGTAATGATACCCCTTTTTGATAGTTTGAGATTTGAGCCCTGAACCTACTCTGTAATGTCCATGTGAACAGATTCGTGGATTGGGAGCATAGTAACTGTGCCTTAGTCTTTTCGTTACCCAAGACACATCCTAATCTCACCTCAGTTGCTCTTCCACTTCTACTTCTCTTCCTCACCATCCTTCACTCTCTCCTCCTTATCTTCAACACCATCCTTATCGTCATCCCCAGTAACTCTCAAATAAACAACCATCCCATTCAACGCATTCCCGTGCTTCTCAAACTCACACAACTTGACCACCTGCCTACCCACCAACCATTTCTTCCCCACCTCGTTACACTCCTGTAACTTCTCTTTCTTCTCCTCGCTCTGCGCATACATGCTGTAATCATCCAGAATCTCATTTCCAATATACAGCACGGGATCTCTATCAGCCAGAAACGTGGGAAGCAGCAAAAACCAATCCACAAACGGCGAATAGACGAACGACTTTGCCTTGATTTTCGCTTCGAGTCCGGAATCCAGAGTAGTGATAGAGAGGAGAGAGAGGAATTCCGTGTCGAGAGGTGTAAAAGCCGGGTCTTGAGCATAGCACTGGATCTCAGTCTTCTTGCTGAGTTTTTTGACTGTAGGATGGGGTGTTAGATTGCTCGTCTAGCAAAAGACTTGGGGGTGCGTAAAGAGGGAGAACTTACGTCGTCCAACAACATGATCAAACAGTACAAGCTGCCAAAGACTCCTCCACCGATGCGCCCAATCCCTGCTAAAACTGCCAATACCTATACACACTGCTTCTTCGACCCCCCACTCTCGCCCCTCGATAACCCCGTTAACCTGAGCTGCAAGCGCCGTATCTTCCCATCGCTCCTGCAGCGTCTTGAAATCGCCGAGCAACTTCTCGGCTGTCAGATCCTTGACGATTTGGGTAGGTAGAACCGTAGCACCTTGGCTCTTCTCGCTCAGCGAGACTTTGGATAGACCATGCGTGATGACTGTCCATCCATCGTCGCTTTGGATCTGCTTGCGTTTTACTCTTCCAGCACCACCGCTGCCATTTGCTTTGTTTCTCCCAGACATTCTTTTTTTCTTCCCACTTCTCCTCTCTTCACTCTTCCGTTTTACTTCACCAAAAAAGGCAAAGAATAATAATCAACCTACCAAAAACCCGTAAGCAGCCCCACTTTTTCAAATCCAAAAAGACTGCATATTCTCTCTCCTCACTAACTCTTTTTCCAGTATCTGCGTCTTAAGTCACTTCCCCAAATGACCAATGGCCAACACCAGATTTAGATAAATGCCCAGCTCCGTGTTTCAATTCACCGAAAATCGAACCAACAAAAACCTTTCAACAAAGATGGCTAAAGAAAAAGCGGGGCAATTTTTTTTACCCACTTCGTAAACTAGAACCGCGCCAAGTTGCACATACGTATGTGAACAGCAACGTCGGCAATTGGCACAGCAAAAGCGGTGAAGCCCTTTTGCCCTAGATTCCCGTTTTTGTTGTTGTTGTTGCAGGGCGCGTACAAGAGCGATATGACAGGATGCGGCGCAAATCGTGGGCAAAAAAAGTGGGGGGAAAACGAGGGAAGAAAAAGAGATAGGCAGCTAGTAGATCGGTTTGTCGGAATGGAGATTCCGATCGCGAAGGGTATGTGGGGTTGAGACTTGCGCATATAGATCGTACAAAAAGGGTAAGGATTGTGTTAGATAGGTGAATTTGGTGAGGATTGGGCAAATGACTAGACAGAGTGCGTGTATGTTTGGAATGTGAGGGGTTTTGCATCGGCTGTTACAAGTAACAAGAAGGATTCTCTCCTTGACAAGTGACGAGATGGCCGAAGGCCTATGGACGTCCACGTCAGAAGGTAATGATCATCGCGGGGCTAGGTCACGTGATGTGCCATCCCGCCAAGAGCAACCATCCGAGGGATGGCAGGACGCCT